CCATCCGGACGGGTTCATTGGGTTCATTTGACCAGCCCACGGTGAGAGAGGCATCTGGCTACGTGAGGATACTACATGATGAAGATTTAAAAAAATTCCTGCGGCTTTTTCACAAAATCATGCCCCACGTCGACATTCTGTACCAGAAGCTACAGAAGAAGGACATCGATGCTGTCTTTATCAAACGTGCCCTCGACAGCTTCACAAGCAGTGTGCAGGCCATAAGGTAAGATTAAACAATATCATTCGATCTTTCATTTTCACAAGTCATTGAACGCTTTGCTGTATTGAAACAGAGAAGAGAACAGTTTCAGTACAAGTAATGTAGCCTCTCTCTCTCTTTGTCCCTCCCTGTCTGTCTCTTTAACACACACACGCCCAAATCAGTTCACAGTTGATGTTGTTTAAAATAGTTATTTTTCATTTAAAAAAAAGTTTTTAAAAAAATTATCTGTTCATGTTCATTTTTACAAATCTATACAATTGGCCAGAATATGGTTGTTCATATTTACAAATCTATACAATTGGCCAGAATATGGTTGTTCATTTTTACAAAGCCATACAGATAGCTGTGTTTACCATTTCTAGAAATTACTTTCAAATTCTGTTTTCAGGCAAAATGTCTATCACTGTTCATTTTCACAAATCTATACAAGAGGGCAGAATATGGAAGTCTATAAAAATGTCTTATTACCAATAACTTGCATCAATGTTTTCAGTAGCCTCTATCAAAAGCTCCTGCTTACTTGTTGTGAATTATGCTCAGGTGCACATATTTCCAATTCAACCATGAGGCAAAAAATGTGGTAAAAGCTCTTGTTGATCCTGCAATCTGAACAAATACCAAGATGCTGTATTTTCAGCTGATATTTCATTTGTTTATGGAAATGCATATTGTTTATGCAGTGTTGAGGAATGTGAAAGAACACCCTTGATTATTTTTACTGTGATAACTTATTTTGATTTTGTAAGCCAACACTTTTGAGATCAGTCAATAAATGCTTCTGGTATTGACTTATATGCTGCCCCTGTCTTCATGTTGTTGCTGGACATATCTTTTTAAAAATGTGTGTAGGTCACCTAAATCATCAGAAAAATTGCCCCCCCTGAGAATTTTTTCAGGAGCCGCCACTGCTCCTGGTATCCAATAAGAAGGGGACTTGCAGTTGCCTGGCGGGTCTGAAATACTATAGAACCAAGTTCTATTTTAGCGCTTGGCTACGCAGACGCTTGTTCACCTGCGCAATTATTGAATAACAGTGCATTCAGAAAATACTCATACCCCTTGACTTATTCCACATTTTGCTGTGTTACAGCCTAAATTCAAAATGGATTACCCAAAATAACAAAGTGAAAACATGTTTTTAGAAATGTTTGCAAATGTATTGAAAATGAAATCCAGAAATATCTTATTTACATACAGTGGGGAAAAAAAGTATTTAGTCAGCCACCAATTGTGCAAGTTCTCCCACTTAAAAAGATGAGAGAGGCCTGTAATTTTCATCATAGGTACACGTCAACTATGACAGACAAAATGAGCCACTGTACCAATAGGTTCCCTTCTTTGCGAGGCATTGAGAAACATCCCTGGTCTTTGTGGTTGAAGCATGAAATGTACTACTCGATTGAGGAACATTACAGACAATTGTTTGTGTGGGGTACAGAGATGAGGTAGTCATTAAAAAATCACGTTACACCACTATTATTGATCATGGAATGATCACTTATTGATCACTTATTATGCGAATTGTTAAGTACATTTTTACTCCTGAACTTATTAAGGCTTGCCATAGCAAAGGGGTTGAATACTTATTGACTCAAGACATTTCACCTTAAAACATTTTTTATACATTTCTAAAACGTTCTACAAACAGAATTCCACTTTGACATTATGGGGTATTGTGTGCAGATCAGTGACACAATCTCAATTTAATCCATTTTAAATTCAGGCTGTAACACTACAAAATGGGGGAAAAGTAATGGGGTCCACGGGGGGCCAGTATGAAAAATGTATGCACTCACTAATTGTAAGTATCTCTGGATAAGCGCGTCTGTTAAATTACTAAAACATATTTTTTTTATGAACACTTTCTGAAGGCACTGTATGTGTACATTTATTTTTGCACCGCTCACGCACCCAACTTGGCCGGTGAGGTTTGCATGTTAGATGAATGCAGTAATGTAAGTCGCTCTGGTGTAGTGTATGAAGAATTATGACTTTGCTAATGTTTTCAAGTGGAACCTGAGAGGAGGTTTATTCAGTTTTAGAGGGAGCCGTTTTAGAGTGACACCATAGAACAGAGGAAGTCTGTTGTGTGGAGAGAGGTCATTGGTCTGTAGGGAACACCCATATCAGATTACATAGGATATATACCACAGTTAGGGCAGAGGAAGACAGAATAATCATATTAGAGATGGGGCGATTATTCTCCAGGTATCTGCAGGTATCTGTAAATCGACGCTGTAACCCTTTGTTATGAATAAACCTTATGATAAAAATACAGCGTCAGCGGGTCCTCCTTGGTCATCACAGCATAATTAGCAACGTTAACTCGACACCACACTGGAAAAAAGTGTCTGCTAAATTACTAAAATGTTAAATGATGAATGCTTGTGCAAATACTCCAGCTGAGGTGTCATGCCTGTTCTGGAGATTTTCTCATTTAGTACAATTTCATAGCAACTAATGTCCCCTGATGAAAAAAAATGGGGGGAAAGACAGTTCACAAACACATACTGTAACCAGAAGTGGAGAGCCTTTGTTGCTGCCCTACGCGCCACAGTGATTGAAATACATGGCTAAATCATTAGAAGGGTTTTTAGTGGGGTCCCAAATGATTGACACCCTTAATAAAGCAATAATGGTAAATAATGTATTGGCATTTTGAAGTCACTTTTATTATAAATAATAATTGAATATGTTTCTAAACACTTCTACATTAGATACCATGATTGTAGATAATCCTGAATGAATCGTGAATAATGATGAGTGAGGGTCAAATATCATACCACCAAGACATTCTAACCTCTCTCCATTACCAATAACAGAGGAGGTTAGCATGTCTTGGGGGTATGATATCTGACCCTCTGTAACTTTCTCACTCAGCATTATTCATGATTCATTCAGCATTAGCCGTAATCATCATAGCATCCAAATGAATGTAGAAGTGTTCAGAAACATATTCTATTCTTATTTGACTCCAAAATGACTCTAAAATGACACAATAAATTACAATAATCTGAAACACAAAAAATAAAAAATAAAAAATTGTAGAGTAAAAGCTTAATGTAATCATTGCGTGCTAGGAATATGGGACCAAATACTACACTTTTGACTACTTTATTTATAAGAATTTTTAGGGGTGTAAATTTTGACTCCTACCTTTTTGAGAAAGAAAGTATTAAACAAACTCTCTTTCTCTGAGCCATTTTATTAGTATAAATAACATAATGTCCCTTTTTTGTTGCAAACAATGTAGTTCAGTATTTTAATTATTTATTTTATACAGTCATTATTACTTATCTTTATCAAGGGTGTCAATAATGTTAGACCTCACTGTAGGTAAGACATAAGATTCACGAGGAGAGTTTATACTGTACTGTACTGTCTCATTGGCTCAATTCCACTATCAGAACCAGAACAACATGCTTCCTGAATGTGTTTCCATTGCGTTAGCAATGCAAATAGTTATTTATAGCTACTGTAGCTACCCATGACCACTGAATGTAGAATGCATATCCACAGATATCCATTTCTGTTCTCTTCCTACAGCCCCCAGTTTGCTGGCTAACGGAAGACAATGTAACTCCTACAGCAGCTTCCAAGACTTTGTGTATAACAGCACTGTGGCCTGCCTGGGAGTGGAGGACCAGTGTTTGAGCTTTAGTGGCAATGGTGACTTGTCTTGTTGTTGTTTTCATGATACAAATCATCACATTTGTTCATCTATAGATCAGGGGTTCCCCAAAAAAAATCCTTAGGGCCCCCTTTTTCACATGAAAATGTTTTTATTTTTATTGAGCCTATATTAAGTACACAAGCTTAATTTTGTTTAATCTGAGGGACCTAGGAAAATGTTCTTGTTTTGAAGCTCATTTGCTGCAATTCTACGTAGTTTCACAAGACTCATTACATATTTTAGGTAGGCTATTTAATTATAATATTATTAATAATAATAAAAATAAAGTCTAGACCCGATTTCCCAAAATCTTATTCCGCTACCAAATGTTTTTTATGAACCCTCAATTTAATTATACATATTGTAATGACCCAGCTGGGTCATAAAGTAAAAGAGAGACGGGCACCAGGTGTACAGGCAGAACACAGGTTTATTCCTGAATGGGCTATTGTTCAGGCCACAGCCCACGCCGCTAAACCTCGAACATACACAAATATAACATGTCAAATCAAGGGTCCCGAACAGAAGAGAGAGAGATGAGACCATAACCCCTATTTAAGCATTCCAAAACCCCGCGGGATTACCCATCATACCCCCCCAACCTTTCCATCTGTCCTGGCATATTTAACCCCTGCTAGCACCCATGAGAACGATAACACAACCATGAACACAGAACACAATACAGGGTCGTTACAATATTCTCTTTTCCAAAAAGTGATTCGATTAATTGATAGCGACAGAGTCAAACATTGTATAAGATTACTTCCCAAGCAAAGTCCAATTTATTTGACTCCTCGACCTTAGAAGGTCGAAGCACAGCTTCTGAATGTCATAGAGACAAATCAAAGATGTTCCCATGTTCATCAGAGTCGTGTCTTCCTCTGGCATTTTACCACCTGTTTCTAGCCTAAAGCATCACAGACGTGACCGAGTGGCTCATCTGGACTCTGATATGAAATGGTCACGTTAGCGACACAACCTTGACATCAAGTCGGCAGGCACAATGATTCAACACCCGGTGCACTGGTTGCCGTTGCCGGTTTATCAACTGGTCGTGTAGTCAAATTAGCCATGCAAAACGGTCTTGAGTGAAAACAAATCTGCCCAATTAGCTGATTCGCTTTCCATACACCCACTCTTTTTGACACACCCACTCGCCCATACTCCGGTCACCATATTGGGCTGCAGCTAACCATACTTGCTCACCTGTGCTAAGCTAACACGTTGTACCTATATACATGTGGCCAGTGACCCATAACCCCATGTGAGTGCCCCTAGTGTACAAAACAGGTTAAGACATCCTTAGACAGACAACATATACACAGTTCAAAATGGCTCTTACACATTCGTTTTACTCAAAGCAAGACATCTGTTAACAAGTTAACAATAAGGTAAGCAAGTTATAAAACATGATAAACATATGTTATACATTTTTATATTACACAGCATTTCACAGCCTTTTTAATGAGACAGGTTAGGCTCTGTTGCTGCACAGTCCTGGAAGTACAGATCCACATACTGCAGGATGTGGTCCACAGCACTGAGCAGAAGGATGTCTGTGTTCTCATCAATGTCCAGCTCAGACGAGTAGTTCTTCACCGGGACGATGTAGGAGGTGGACATGCCAAGCAGAGCCCCAGCCTTGGTCATCTACACACACAAGTTTGTTTTACTATACTTGAGGGGACCAAATAATTGGGGGGACCATATTTTCCCTAACACCTAACCCTTAACCTAACCCTGATACTATTCCTAACCCTAAAAGTAACCCTAACCCTAAATCTAAACCTAACCCCTAAACCTGATTCTAACCCTTACCCTAATTGTAACCCTTAAACCTAAACCCTGAGCTTAAAAAAGCCTTTTTCCCTCTGGGGACCGTCAAAATGTCCCCACTTGTCTGCATTTTCCTTGTTTTACTATCCTTGTGAAGACTTCTGGTCCCCACCATGACAGTAAAACCAAACACACACAAGTCAGTCAAGGATGTTCACAGTAGAACTACTGTACATTTCAGATGTTCCAATAGCTGATATTCCAATTGCTGACTAACATCAATAAGGGGTATTATTGAGAGTACCGTCTGCTGAACGATCCGGCTGTTGTACACCTGGGTGATGTCACGGGCGGTTTCCTGACACACCTGGTCCACGTGTGTCAGCAGTGCCACTTGATGCACACCTACAAAACACATTTGTTTCACACACTGTCAACTGACAGAATTGACCACAGTTCCAACAACCATTACTGCCATTGCTAAAACGCTTCCTATTGTGCTCACCCAGGTCACTGATGTGTTCTCGGAGCTGTTGGAAGGTGGCGCCTAGGCCTTTGGTGTAGCTGGACACTTTAGAAGCATCCACCACAAAGACGACACAGTGGACCTTGTCTTTAAGGGACGGCTTCTTCACATAGCCCACAGTCTCCGATCTCACAGGCCGCTCAGGACTGAACTGTAGAGGATGAATGGGAATGAGAACATTAGCTTGGTTATTCAAACCAACCAGCTGAGAGAGTATTAGAATATTCTCTACCAAACAGAGACATTTATATCAGGGGTGAGCAGCCCCTGTCCTGTGAGGCTGCCTGCATGGTTATGTTCCAACCCAGCACTAACTCACCTGATTCATAATAGTGGTCTAAATTACAGACTGTGATTAGTTGAATCAGGCGTGTTAAGAGTTAAACTGGAACAAAAACCGGCACACACTGTGCCCCGTTGCTAAACTCTGAGTTATATGAACGTTGCCTCCCAATACTTGCACTCTGTTTTACACACACCGGTGGCACCTGTGTCCGTTCTCCCTCACGTACCTTGTGTCCCTCGGGTGCATGGCCTTTGATGATAGCCAGAGTATCATGGAGGGTTAGTCCAGTCTCCCCATCTCCCAGACCCATGACATCACACAGGACCAGCGCAGTAGGCTGCTTTGGATTCCGCCCACGAATGTTGAACAACTGGAGCTAAGACAGAGGACATAGACAGAATTATATGTGTTAGGAAATACTATGTGGTTTACAATATGGAATGATTAACAATAATAGTTTTTGTAACTTAACTCAATATTTTGAACCAGTCAAGTATCTTTATTTTGCATGTAATTTATCTATATCAACCAGCCCCAAAACTCCCAGTTTCTCACAAACTCAAATACTTTGTTGTTTTTTACCTCTACCTTTTTGGTGAAGCTGGCAGAGGAAGAGCCAACCATGGCCCGGTTAGTGACTCTTCCTGTGAAGACTGACTGAACAGAGCTGATGAAGCTGGACTTGCCGGCTCCGACAGGCCCCAGCAGCAGAACCCGAGCCTCAGACACAGCCTCACAACCAGGCTTATATGAACTGATAGACTCCATCAGGGTCTCCCTGCGACTGGGTAAACATGGCTCATTTTAAATTAATTTTGATTACACCAGATGTAGTCTCACGTAGCCATGCCTCCAAATCCTGTTGTTATGTCACGACTCTTTTGGAGGTATGGAGAATTTTGTATTAGTCAAAACGTCTAGAATGGTCTGGTAACTTCCAGCAGCTACATTTTTATTGAATGTTACATTTCAAGAACCCTCCCCCCACATGCCCGTAGAACGGGTTCTGCGTGTTATGTTTGTCACTGTCTTCCGACCGGGTAGGAAACATAGCATTGTCTACCCATGTGTTTAGTACCTTATTAGGTGTACATAGGTACGTTTGAGTTTATTGGTGTGATAGCCTACTCACTCCTCAGTCCATGCCACCTCCCTCCATGGGGACTCCATCTTACTTTGCCACTGTTCTGCCCCTGGCAGGCCTAGAGTCGATAGAGTATAGTGTAAGAGCAAACTAGTGAACATCATGAATGTTTAGGTAAGTCTAGTCTACTGGAAAGTGGCAATTAAACAGCACACAATACGCTATTTTGAAATTACTCCGGCATCATGATAGTCTATGCTGTTATTTTGCTTACCTGCAAAACCCCCAGATGAGTTTATCCCATTCTCCTCAGAGTTTTTTGTCATTCTCCTCCTGGACTTGGATTTGTCGTCCCCTGCCGATGTAGTCACTGGGATTTCAGAGGCTAACGGTAATACTGAGAAAGATGTACCCCCACCAAAAACTGGTGCAGAAATCTCAGTTAGGCCTACCTTAACAGGTTGCATGAAGCCACCGAAGGACATGCTGTCAATGTAAAAACATATTCAAACATTTATCACAACTTTCAAAAATGTTGTGCCAATTACAGTCATCCTAAAATCAGATAGGGTTCAAAGAAGAACCTAATTTACTTAGCTACTTACTTACTTAAAGTAGCCTAAATAATGCAAAACAGTAGTGAGAAGTTTGCTTGGAGATTTTATCGCTGACCCAGCTGAGTTCAGTTTAACATGCAAGCATTGCCTATCTGCTTCTCAGTAGAGAAGTGTGTCTGTTATGAGGAAACGAAAGATAGGAAGTTCTTCTTCTTCTCTGGCACGCACAAATGTAATGTGCATGCCGCCACCTACTGAGCGGGATGTTAACAATATGTCCAAAACAGTTTCAATGTGGGGAAGAAGACAAAACATCATACAAACTACCAATAAAATAAAACTAAATCAACCTACTTTTCTGTTAAAAACCTAATCATATCATATCCCTACACAGGCTCAAGGGGAGCCAGGGAGGGCGGGCCCCTTCCGGTGCCAGTACTCCTTGTGTAACAGAGTTAAGAACGTGCCGTAAGCTCACTCCACAGCTAGCTTGAAATGTTGCTGATGGAGCTACCCAATTGGTACCTTTTGTATACCTCAAACAGTTGATACGTTGTCAAGGAGGGTGGTCACTTGTGTTGCAAAGTAGAGGATCACTCGTTCGAGCCCAGTATTGCTACAGGGACAGTGTTTCATACCAGTATAGCTGTGTTCAGCATAAGCACAGCCTACTCAGCATAGACTTAGGCTATAGAATAATTATAATAAGTGTATATCCGAGTTTCAGTGTAGGCTACTTGTGTAGTAATTAGAACAGTGTTTGAACCAGCGATCTTTCTCGTTTCAGGGCAATCTGTGCCATAAAGTTCCAGACCTCACACTTCCATCAAAGGCATGAGAATGAGAGACTACAGGAGGATTATCCCACCGTTGCTGCCAGTGTAGCAATTGAAGGGGAAGTGCTCAAACTGCACCAACTTGCAACCCGGCTGTTACAGGGATAGCTCACTACCACCCATGCTTAATAAGTCCAGACCTCTTGGAAGAGGCTGTACACTGACATACTGAGGCTACACTTAGGCCTATTGATTGAAATACTAAATTGATGCAACACATTTTCAGCAAGACACCTATTTCCCTCTGCTGCTGGGCTCACCATTAGCAAACTCATCTAATAGGAACAGAGATGATATCGGGACTATCTGAAAACATAGTGCATTGATTAGAACACAACAGGATGTGCAATGATTTTCATGTATTGTGAAAGACGTACTATAAGTGAAATTATGTTATTTATTATGGAATTTGCCAGATGATGCCCTGTTACATTATATAGTGGTTTGCTTGATTGAATATGTTCATATTACTTGGTATAGTCCAGGGTGCTTGCTTAGGCCTGTAAGTTTAAAACAAGATAATATTTTTCTATGCCAATATAACACTCCGTTTAGAGGGTTCGGAGATTGGAACGTCAACTATAGGAAAGTTAAGACCAGACAGGAGCTTTACAAAACATGTCTTTATTCTCTAGAACCAACCACCATCTCAATCATTTCACTTGACACACAGGAATTTATAGACACAGGCCAGACATTACTAATCAATGATCATCAACTCCAATTCACACTCTTACACCAATAAAGTTTCTATCACTGTACCAAAATGGAAATAAACTGTTATCTTATAGTGAATTTATTCAAATCACCCAACATTTTAAATTATGATTGGAGGCTTATTTTTAACAGATAAAGATAATAGCTAGCTAGCACTCTTCAATCCCCAAATAGCAATTTTTTATATGGCTTAAAGGATTCAGTTTCTCTCTACACTTATTCTACAGAGGAGAGCAAAACGTGTGGAGGAAGAGGATGGAGTTGGTCTTGTGTCTATAGAGAAGAGGAAAAGGTGGTCTGCCGTGAAGCATTCCAGTCGGATCATACAAAACGTCACCATCATAGACTTAGGAATAATAATACTAATAAAATACATATATAATAACATGTATTTCGTGAACCAACACTCGCAATTGGCTTCCCCCCCTTACTAGCTCTGACTTTGCTGATAGCTACTTTATTGAGGATATGTGATATGTGGTTGTCCCACCTAGCTATCTTAAGATGAATGCACTAACTGTAAGTCGCTCTGGATAAGAGCGTCGGCTAAATGACTACAATGTAAATTTACTAGGATCTCTAGGGTCACCATGCCAGTGGTGGCTTCCTCGTTTATCTCCAGAAAGGCCTTATGGGCCACCGTAGACAGGAAGAGTGACCCTGTCCCCGTTGAACGGGTCCCTCACCTGGAGAAGCGAGTAGATGCATCCCAAAATGGCGACCGGGGTATGGGCGAGTGGGTATGTTGAAAGAAAATAATGGGCGTGTGGAAAGGAGTGGGCGTGTGGAAAGGAGTTGGTGAGTCGAAAGCACTCTGCTATAGGATGGACCAGGGGTGTCAAACTCATTCCATGAAGGGCCTAGTGTCTGCGGGTTTTTGGTTTTAACTTTCAAATAAGACGTAGACAACCAGGTGAGGGGAGTTCTTTAATAATTAGTGACCTTCATTCATCAATCAAGTACAAAGGAGGAGCGAAAACCAGCAGACACTCGGCCGTCCGTGGAATGAGTTTGACACGTGGGTTAGACTATTTTCATTGAGCTGTGTATTTTTCTTCTTCCATTTCTTACCTTGCAACCACCTTACATTGACCTACCATACAGTGAGAGTTTGGACTTTGTTTTTTAGCCAGAGGATGAGTCTGAGTCATTTTTCACTGTCAGTTTTACACACAAAAAATAATGGTACATTTTCAGTTATAAAACTGATGATTGTTTTTTTTAAATTAAAAGTATTGATGATGGGTGTACTTCATGCATGGAATGAATGTACAGCTGTCACCCTGATATTGGCTACTAGGTAGCTACTTCCCACGCTGTTGCCAGACAGTAGTAATTGTCAAGCGGGAGCGAACGTCACTCTACCCTTGTTGTTGCCGTTCATGCCCTCCCCATTGAGTAGTAGACTGTATGTATGAATCAAGGTGACATCTAGATGGTTATCAATATTAGTTATTTCTTGTGTAAGTTGCTATGCTACTTGAAATAAAATAATGTGAGAGAAAGAAATGGTCACGTTAGCGACACAACCTTGACACGAAGTAGGAAGCACATCAAGTCGGCAGGCACAATGATTCAACACCCGGTGCACTGGTTGCCGTTGCCGGTTTATCAACTGGTCGTGTAGTCAAATTAGTCATGCAAAACGGTCTTGAGTGAAAACAAATCTGCCCAATTAGCTGATTCGCTTTCCATACACCCACTCTTTTTGACACACCCACTCGCCCATACTCCGGTCACCATATTGGGCTGCAGCTAACCATACTTGCTCACCTGTGCTAAGCTAACACGTTGTACCTATATACATGTGGCCAGTGACCCATAACCCCATGTGAGAGTGCCCCTAGTGTACAAAACAGGTTAAGAAATCCTTAGACAGACAACATATACACAGTTCAAAATGGCTCTTACACATTTGTTTTACTCAAAGCAAGACATCTGTTAACAAGTTAACAATAAGGTAAGCAAGTTATAAAACATGATAAACATATGTTATACATTTTTATATTACACAGCATTTCACAGCCTTTTTAAAGAGACAGGTTAGGCATTGTTGCTGCACAGTCCTGGAAGTGCAGATCCACATACTGCAGGATGTGGTCCACAGCACTGAGCAGAAGGATGTCTGTGTTCTCATCAACGTCCAGCTCAGACGAGTAGTTCTTCACCGGGACGATGTAGGAGGTGGACATGCCAAGCAGAGCCCCCGCCTTATTAATCTACACACACACACACACACACACACACACACACACACACACACACACACATTTGTTTTACTATACTTGTGAGGACCAAACAATTGATTCCTATTCAAAATCCTATTTTCCCTAACCTTTAACGTAACCCTAACCCTGACACTAATCCTAACCGTAATTGTAACCCTAGCCCTAAACCTGTTACAGGAGGGGGTTGCAGTTCATCCTCCGACAACCTTAGGCACCTCCTCACTCACAGTCTGGATTAATCATTATCCTATTGGTGTCACCTGTGTCTACCTGTTCACCTGTGTATTTATGCCCTCACTTCCCTGTGTTCCCTTGCTCAGTTTTCTCTGCTAGTTTCTCGATGCCAAGCAGTACTAATCAGTGTCTGACCGCGAGACGTATGTACAGGTACTTGAGAAATGTTATCCCTGTTTCATTGTTGTTTCAGTCGTAGTTAGTATTTCGTATGTTTGCTGTCAGCCTGTTTTTGGAGACCAATTTGCTCCTCCTTTATTTTATTTTGACAAGTCCGTTATTTTGTATCCTGGCTTTGGACCCACCAGTAAAGATCCTTGTCTCTGCCTACTGCCTACTGTCTCTCCGGCACCGCACCTGGGTCACACTTCACACCAACCCTTACAGAAAACTGAGCCAATATGGACCCAGCAGAGGCAGCACAGTATCATAGCGCATTGGCAACGCAGGGAGCTATGCTGAACCAGCACGACCGCACCCTGCAGCAGATCACGAGAATCTCCGCCTGCTGACGATTGCCGTGCTGAGCCGGGTGGACACCCGACCAGCCCCGGCAGCCAGCAGAGCGGAAGCCGCGGCAGCGGCGTCTCCAGTCTCGCCTGCGACATCGCGGGAACCCCGCCTACCACCTCCGGAGAGGTACGACGGACGTCCAGAGGGCTGCAGGGAATTCCTCACCCAGTGTTCCCTGGTATTCAGCCTACAACCCTCCTCCTTCCCGACGGAGCAGGGCCGGGTGGCCTACATTATCACTCTGTTGACGGGTCGGGCCCTTTCCTGGGCTACCGCGTAGTGGGAGAGCCAAACTCTGGCTTGCTCCGACTCCTACCAATTCACCTGAGAGCTATGCAAGGTGTTCGACACCTCTCGGGTGGTGTTGGGGCACGAGGTCGGGAGGCGGCTCACGGCCTTTCGGGTGGGTGACCGTTCGGTGGCAGACTACTCCATGGAGGTCCGGACCCGGGCTCGAAAGGCAGGATGGAGGAGGCTGTCTTGGTCGTCCTTTACGCGCAGGGGCTATCGGAGGGGATGAAGGACTCTCCTTCAGGGAGCTGCCTGAGCAACTGGATGGCCTAATCGACCTCTCGGTGCGGGTAGACAATCAGCGTCGTGAGAAGGCGCACGAGAGAGGAATGACGCAAGGCGCGCTTGTCCAGGATGGAGAAGCAGAGGCGTCTGCGCCAGGGACGTTGCCTGTACTGCGACCAGGCAGGTCACCACTACGATTCATGCCCGGAGAAGCCAGGAAACGGGACCCCAACTCCAGAGACTCCCTGACTTTTCTCCCCGTCAGGGTTCAGTGGGCCCGCGGTGCGCAATGCGCGTCGGGCACATGCATTGGTGGATTCGGGGGCCGCGGGCAACGTGATGGACGCGACGCTGGCCCAAGGGTGGAGCGTTCCGTTACCCTCCCTCTCTGAGCCAGTTCCTACCTCCTCACAGGCCATACGACTGCACTATCGATCTCCTGCCGGGCGCCATGCCCACACGAGGGCGATTGTTTTCCTTGTCCCGGCCGGAGACGCTGGCCATGAGGGAGTGTATCGACGAGGCACTCGTCGAGGGTCACATCCGTCCCTCTACCTCACCTGCGGGCGCGGGCTTCTACTTCGGGGGAAAAAGAACGGTGGGCAGCGGCCGTGCATTGATTACCGGGCGCTCAACGACATCACGGTTAAGAACCTCTAACCTCTCCCCCTGATGACGACGGCATTCGAGTCATTGCAGGGAGCCCGGGTCTTCACCAAGCTGGACTTACGAAATGCCTACAACCTGGTGAGGACTTGGGAGGGGGACAAGTGGAAGACGCGTTTAACACACCCAGTGGGCATTACGAGTACCAAGTCATGCCGTTCGGTCTAGCCAATGCGCCTGCGGTGTTCCAGGCATTGGTCAATGACGTGCTCCGGGACCTCCTCGACTACAGCGTCTTCGTATATATTTGGATGACATCCTAATATTTTCAAAAGACATGAGTGAACACCAGCAGCACGTTCGGCAGGTCCTCCAACACCTTCTCCGTCACCAGCTCTACGTCAAGGCGGAGAAGTGCATGTTCCACACAGAGACAGTCTCCATCCTGGGGTTCATCGTCACTCAGGGGGACTTACGGATGGGCCCAGCCAAGGTCAGCGCAGTACTGGATTGGCCCCAGCCCTCCTCCCTCAAGCAACTACAAAGTTTTTTAGGGTTTGCTAATTTTTATAGCCGATTGATTTGCAATTTTATCTCCCTAGCCGCTCCCCTGACAGCCATCACCCAGACGAGCGTGCGCTCCTTCACCTGGACCCCGGAAGCGGGGAACGCATTTAATGCGCTTATGCAGCGCTTTACATCAGCCCCTGTCCTAGGTCATCCTGATACGTCCCTGCCGTTCATTGTGGAGGTGGATGCTTCAGACGTTGCGGTGGGAGCAATCCTGTCCCAGCGGTTCCTCACGGACGGTAAGACTCACACCTGCACGTTTTACTCCCGTCGGCTGTCCCCGGCGACGCTGAATTACGACGTGGGGAACCGTGAGCTGCTAGCGGTCAAGCTCGCCCTGGGGGAGTGGAGGCATTGGCTAGAGGGGGCCGCCCATCCATTTGTCGTATGGACTGACCATAAGAACTTAGTCTACATTCAGGGGGCCAAGAGGCTCAACTCGCGCCAGGCCAGGTGGGCATTGTTCTTCACCAGGTTCCGGTTCACGATCTCATACCGTCCGGGGTCGAAGAACACCAAGCCTGACGCGCTCTCCCGGCAGTTCGACCCCGTGGACCTGGTTGAGAGGGACGACCCCATTGTCCCCAACGCCCTGATTGCTACCCCAGTTTCATGGGGAATCGATAGGCTGGTCAGAGCAGCGCTACGGCTTGCCCGGTGTGTGTGCGCACGTAGAGCTCACATCAGCCCGCAGCAGGGGTGCTCCGACCCCTGCCTATCCCCAAGCGCCCCTGGTCCCACATCTCGCTGGATTTCATTTCCACCCTACCCCGCTCTGATGGATACACAGTCATCCTGGTCGTTGTGGACCGGTTTTCGAAGTCTGCCCACTTCATTCCCCTTCACAAACTCCTGTCGGCCCGGGAGACGGCTAACTTGGTGTTGCAGCACGTTTTCCGGGTCCACGGCCTTCCCCAAGATGTGGTGTCGGATCGGGGCCCTCAGTTCGCCTCCAGGTTCTGGAAGGCTTCACCACCTGCCTCGGCGCCACCTGCCTTCCGGGGGCACTGTTACAGGAGGGGGGTCGCAATTCCGGAGCGACCCACTAGGTGTCATCCTCCGACAACCTTAGGCACCTCCTTACTCACCTGTGTCTACCTGTTCACCTGTGTATTTATGCCCTCACTTCCCTGTGTTCCCTTGCTCAGTTTTCTCTAATAGTTTCTCAATGGCAAACAGTACTAATCAGTGTCTGACCGCGAGACGTATGTACAGGTACTTGAGAAGTGTTATCCCTGTTTCATTGTTGTTTCAGTCGTAGTTAGTATTTCGTATGTTTGCTGTCAGCCTTTTTTTGGAGACCAATTTGCTCCTCCTTTATTTTATCGTAACAAGTCCGTTATTTTGTATCCTGGCTTTGGTACCACCAGTAAAGATCCTTGTCTCTGCCTACTGCCTACTGTCTATCCGGCACCGCACCTGGGTCACACCTCACACCAACCCTTACATAAACCTACCCCTGCATATTTGCGCTAGAACTACTGTACATACAGGGAGGTTAAATTTCAGATGTTCCAATAGCTGATATTCCAATAGCTGACTAACATCAATAAGGGGTATTATTGAGAGTACCGTCTGCTGAACGATCCGGCTGTTGTACACCTGGGTGATGTCACGGGAGCTTTCCTGACACACCTGGTCCACGTGTGTCAGCAGTGCCACTTGATGCACACCTACAAAACACATTTGTTTCACACACTGTCAACTGACAGAATTGACCACAGTTCCAACAACCATTACTGCCATTGCTAAAACACTTCCTATTGTGCTCACCCAGGTCACTGATGTGTTCTCGGAGCTGTTGGAAGGTGGCGCCTAGGCCTTTGGTGTAGCTGGACACTTTAGAAGCATCCACCACAAAGACGACACAGTGGACCTTGTCTTTAAGGGACGGCTTCTTCACATAGCCCACAGTCTCCGATCTCACAGGTTGCTCAGGACTGAACTGTAGAGGATGAATGGGAATGAGAACATTAGCTTGGTTATTCAAACCAACCAGCTGAGAGAGTATTGGAATATTCTCTACCAAACAGAGACATTTATATCAGGGGTGAGCAACTCCTGTCCTGTGAGGCTGCCTGCATGCTTATGTTCCAACCCAGCACTAACTCACCTGATTCATAATAGTGGTCTAAATTGCAGACTGTGATTAGTTGAATCAGGTGTGTTAGAGCTAAAACGGAACAAACACCGGCACACACTGTGCCCCGTTGCTAAACTCTGAGTTATATGAACGTTGACTCCCAATACTTGCACTCTGTTTTACACACACCGGTGGCACCTGTGTCCGTTCTCCCTCACGTACCTTGTGTCCCTCGGGTGCATGGCCTTTGATGATAGCCAGAGTGTCATGGAGGGTTAGTCCAGCGGTCTCACCATCTCCCAGACCCATGACATCACACAGGACCAGCGCAGTAGGCTGCTTTGGATTCCGCCCACGAATGTTGAACAACTGGAGCTAAGACAGAGGACATAGACAGAATTATATGTGTTAGGAAATACTATGTGGTTTACAATATGGAATGATTAACAATAATAGTTTTTGTAACTTAACTCAATATTTTGAACCAGTCAAGTATCTTTATTTTGCATGTAATTTATCTATATCAACCAGCCCCAAAACTCCCAGTTTCTCACAAACTCAAATACTTTGTTGTTTTTTACCTCTACCTTTTTGGTGAAGCTGGCAGAGGAAGAGCCAACCATGGCCCGGTTAGTGACTCTTCCTGTGAAGACTGACTGAACAGAGCTGATGAAGCTGGACTTGCCGGCTCCGACAGGCCCCAGCAGCAGAACCCGAGCCTCAGACACAGCCTCACAACCAGGCTTATATGAACTGATAGACTCCATCAGGGTCTCCCTGCGACTGGGTAAACATGGCTCATTTTAAATTAATTTTGATTACACCAGATGTAATCTCACGTAGCCATGCCTCCAAATCCTGTTGTTATGTCACGACTCTTTTGGAGGTATGGAGAATTTTGTATTAGTCAAAACGTCTAGAATGGTCTGGTAACTTCCAGCAGCTACATTTTTATTGAATGTTACATTTCAAGAACCCTCCCCCCACATGCCCGTAGAACGGGTTCTGCGTGTTATGTTTGTCACTGTCTTCCGACCGGGTAGGAAACATAGCATTGTCTACCCATGTGTTTAGTACCTTATTAGGTGTACATAGGTACGTTTGAGTTTATTGATGTGATAGCCTACTCACTCCTCAGTCCATGCCACCTCCCTCCATGGGGACTCCATCTTACTTTGCCACTGTTCTGCCCCTGGCAGGCCTAGAGTCGATAGAGTATAGTGTAAGAGCAAACTAGTGAACATCATGAATGTTTAGGTAAGTCTAGTCTACTGGAAAGTGGCAATTAAACAGCACACAATACGCTATTTTGAAATTACTCCAGCATCATGATAGTCTATGCTGTTATTTTGCTTACCTGCAAAACCCCCAGATGAGTTTATCCCATTCTCCTCAGAGTTTTTTGTCATTCTCCTCCTGGACTTGGATTTGTCGTCCCCTGCCGATGTAGTCACTGGGATTTCAGAGACTAACGGTAATACTGAGAAAGATGTACCCCCACCAAAAACTGGTGCAGAAATCTCAGTTAGGCCTACCTTAACAGGTTGCATGAAGCCACCGAAGGACATGCTGTCAATGTAAAAACATATTCAAACATTTATCACAACTTTCAAAAATGTTGTGCCAATTACAGTCATCCTAAAATCAGATAGGGTTCAAAGAAGAACCTAATTTACTTAGCTACTTACTTACTTAAAGTAGCCTAAATAATGCAAAACAGTAGTGAGAAGTTTGCTTGGAGATTTTATCGCTGACCCAGCTGAGTTCAGTTTAACATGCAAGCATTGCCTATCTGCTTCTCAGTAGAGAAGTGTGTCTGTGGGGTGTGTCTGTTATGAGGAAACGAAAGATAGGAAGTTCTTCTTCTTCTCTGGCACGCACAAATGTAATGTGCATGCCGCCACCTACTGAGCGGGATGTTAACAATATGTCCAAAACAGTTTCAATGTGGGGAAGAAGACAAAACATCATACAAACTACCAATAAAATAAAACTAAATCAACCTACTTTTCTGTTAAAAACCTAATCATATCATATCCCTACACAGGCTCAAGGGGAGCCAGGGAGGGCGGGCCCCTTCCGGTGCCAGTACTCCTTGTGTAACAGAGTTAAGAACGTGCCGTAAGCTCACTCCACAGCTAGCTTGAAATGTTGCTGATGGAGCTACCCAATTGGTACCTTTTGTATACCTCAAACAGTTGATACGTTGTCAAGGAGGGTGGTCACTTGTGTTGCAAAGTAGAGGATCACTCGTTCGAGCCCAGTATTGCTACAGGGACAGTGTTTCATACCAGTATAGCTGTGTTCAGCATAAGCACAGCCTACTCAGCATAGACTTAGGCTATAGAATAATTATAATAAGTGTATATCCGAGTTTCAGTGTAGGCTACTTGTGTAGTAATTAGAACAGTGTTTGAACCAGCGATCTTTCTCGTTTCAGGGCAATCTGTGCCATAAAGTTCCAGACCTCACACTTCCATCAAAGGCATGAGAATGAGAGACTACAGGAGGATTATCCCACCGTTGCTGCCAGTGTAGCAATTGAAGGGGAAGTGCTCAAACTGCACCAACTTGCAACCCGGCTGTTACAGGGATAGCTCACTACCACCCATGCTTAATAAGTCCAGACCTCTTGGAAGAGGCTGTACACTGACATACTGAGGCTACACTTAGGCCTATTGCTTGAAATACTAAATTGATGCAACACATTTTCAGCAAGACACCAATTTCCCTCTGCTGCTGGGCTCACCATTAGCAAACTCATCTAATAGGAACAGAGATGATATCGGGACTATCTGAAAACATAGTGCATTGATTAGAACACAACAGGATGTGCAATGATTTTCATGTATTGTGAAAGACGTACTATAAGTGAAATTATGTTATTTATTATGGAATTTGCCAGATGATGCCCTGTTACATTATATAGTGGTTTGCTTGATTGAATATGTTCATATTACTTGGTATAGTCCAGGGTGCTTGCTTAGGCCTGTAAGTTTAAAACAAGATAATATTTTTCTATGCCAATATAACACTCCGTTTAGAGGGTTCGGAGATTGGAACGTCAACTATAGGAAAGTTAAGACCAGACAGGAGCTTTACAAAACATGTCTTTATTCTCTAGAACCAACCACCATCTCAATCATTTCACTTGACACACAGGAATTTATAGACACAGGCCAGACATTACTAATCAATGATCATCAACTCCAATTCACACTCTTACACCAATAAAGTTTCTATCACTGTACCAAAATGGAAATAAACTGTTATCTTATAGTGAATTTATTCAAATCACCCAACATTTTAAATTATGATTGGAGGCTTATTTTTAACAGATAAAGATAATAGCTAGCTAGCACTCTTCAATCCCCAAATAGCAATTTTTTATATGGCTTAAAGGATTCAGTTTCTCTCTACACTTATTCTACAGAGGAGAGCAAAACGTGTGGAGGAAGAGGATGGAGTTGGTCTTGTGTCTATAGAGAAGAGGAAAAGGTGGTCTGCCGTGAAGCATTCCAGTCGGATCATACAAAACGTCACCATCATAGACTTAGGAATAATAATACTAATAAAATACATATATAATAACATGTATTTCGTGAACCAACACTCGCAATTGGCTTCCCCCCTTTACTAGCTCTGACTTTGCTGATAGCTACTTTATTGAGGATATGTGATATGTGGTTGTCCCACCTAGCTATCTTAAGATGAATGCACTAACTGTAAGTCGCTCTGGATAAGAGCGTCGGCTAAATGACTACAATGTAAATTTACTAGGATCTCTAGGGTCACTATGCCAGTGGTGGCCTCCTCGTTTATCTCCAGAAAGGCCTTATGGGCCACCGTAGACAGGAAGAGTGACCCTGTCCCCGTTGAATGTGTCCCTCACCTGGAGAAGCGGGTAGATGCATCCCAAAATGGCGACCGGGGTATGGGCGAGTGGGTATGTTGAAAGAAAATAATGGGCGTGTGGAAAGGAGTTGGTGAGTCGAAAGCACTCTACTATAGGTTAGACCAGGGGTGTCAAACTCATTCCATGAAGGGCCTAGTGTCTGCGGGTTTTTGGTTTTAACTTTCAAATAAGACATAGACAACCAGGTGAGGGGAGTTCTTTATTAATTAGTGACCTTCATTCATCAATCAAGTACAAAGGAGGAGCGAAAACCAGCAGACACTCGGCCGTCCGTGGAATGAGTTTGACACGTGGGTTAGACTATTTTCATTGAGCTGTGTATTTTTCTTCTTCCATTTCTTACCTTGCAACCACCTTACATTGACCTACGATACAGTGAGAGTTTGGACTTTGTTTTTAAGCCAGAGGATGAGTCCGAGTCATTTTTCACTGTCAGTTGTACACACAAAAAATAATGGTACATTTTCAGTTATAAAACTGATGATTGATTTTTTTTAAATTAAAAGTATTGATGATGGGTGTACTTCATGCATGGAATGCATGTACAGCTGTCACCCTGATATTGGCTACTAGGTAGCTACTTCCCACGCTGTTGCCAGACAGTAGTAATTGTCAAGCGGGAGCGAACGTCACTCTACCCTTGTTGTTGCCGTTCATGCCCTCCCCATTGAGTAGTAGACTGTATGTATGAATCAAGGTGACATCTAGATGGTTATCAATATTAGTTATTTCTTGTGTAATTTGCTATGCTACTTGAAATAAAATAATGTGAGAGAAAGAAATGGTCACGTTAGCGACACAACCTTGACACCAAGTAGGAAGCACATCAAGTCGGCAGGCACAATGATTCAACACCCGGTGCACTGGTTGCCGTTGCCGGTTTATCAACTGGTCGTGTAGTCAAATTAGCCACGCAAAACTGTCTTGAGTGAAAACAAATCTGCCCAATTAGCTGATTCACTTTCCATACACCCACTCTTTTTGACACACCCACTCGCCCATACTCCGGTCACCATATTGGGCTGCAGCTAACCATACTTGCTCACCTGTGCTAAGCTAACACGTTGTACCTATATACATGTGGCCAGTGACCCATAACCCCATGTGAGAGTGCCCCTAGTGTACAAAACAGGTTAAGACATCCCTAGACAGACAACTTATATACAGTTCAAAATGGCTCTTACACATTCGTTTTACTCAAAGCAAGACATCTGTTAACAAATTAACAATAGTGTAAGCAAGTTATAAAACATGATAAACATATGTTATACATTTTTATATTACACAGCATTTCACAGCCTTTTTAAAGAGACAGGTTAGGCATTGTTGCTGCACAGTCCTGGAAGTGCAGATCCACATACTGCAGGATGTGGTCCACAGCACTGAGCAGAAGGATGTCTGTGTTCTCATCAACGTCCAGCTCAGACGAGTAGTTCTTCACCGGGACGATGTAGGAGGTGGACATGCCAAGCAGAGCCCCCGCCTTATTAATCTACACACACACACACACACACACACACACACACACACACACACACACACACACACACATTTGTTTTACTATACTTGTGAGGACCAAACAATTGATTCCTATTCAAAATCCTATTTTCCCTAACCTTTAACGTAACCCTAACCCTGATACTAATCCTAACCGTAATTGTAACCCTAGCCCTAAACCTGTTACAGGAGGGGGTTGCAGTTCATCCTCCGACAACCTTAGGCACCTCCTCACTCACAGTCTGGATTAATCATTATCCTATTGGTGTCACCTGTGTCTACCTGTTCACCTGTGTATTTATGCCCTCACTTCCCTGTGTTCCCTTGCTCAGTTTTCTCTGCTAGTTTCTCGATGCCAAGCAGTACTAATCATTACATTACATTACATTTTAGTCATTTAGCAGACGCTCTTATCCAGAGCGACTTACAGGAGCAATTAGGGTTAAGTGCCTTGCTCAAGGGCACATTTACGTCATTTAGCAGACGCTCTTATCCAGAGCGACTCACCAATTGGTGCGTTCACCCTATAGCCAGTGGGATAATCACTTTACAAAAATTTTTTTTGGGGGGGGGGGGGGTAGAAGGATTACTTTATCCTATCCCAGGTATACCTTAAAGAGGTGGGGTTTCAAATGTCTCCGGAAGGTGGTGAGTGACTCCGCTGTCCTGGCGTCGTGAGGGAGCTTGTTCCACCATTGGGGTGCCAGAGCAGTGAACAGTTTTGACTGGGCTGAGCGGGAACTATGCTTCCGCAGAGGAAGGGGAGCCAGCAGGCCAGAGGTGGATGAACGCAATGCCCTCGTTTGGGTGTAGGGACTGATCAGAGCCCGAAGGTACAGAGGTGCCGTTCCCCTCACTGCTCCATAGGCAAGCACCATGGTCTTGTAGCGGATGCGAGCTTCAACTGGAAGCCAGTGGAGTGTGCGGAGGAGGGGGGTGACGTGAGAGAACTTGGGAAGGTTGAACACCAGACGGGCTGCGGCATTCTGGATGAGTTGTAGGGGTTTAATGGCACAGGCAGGGAGGCCAGCCAACAGCGAGTTGCAGTAGTCCAGACGGGAGATGACAAGTGACTGGATTAGGACCTGAGCCGCTTCCTGTGTAAGGCAGGGTCGTACTCTCCGAATGTTGTAGAGCATGAACCTGCAGGAGCGGGTCACCGCCTAGATGTTGGCGGAGAATGACAGGGTGTTGTCCAGGGTCACGCCTAGGCTCTTCGCACTCTGGGAGGAGGACACAGCGGAGTTGTCAACCGTGATGGCGAGATCATGGAACGGGCAGTCCTTCCCCGGGAGGAAGAGCAGCTCCGTCTTGCCAGGGTTCAGCTTGAGGTGGTGATCCGTCATCCATACTGATATGTCTGCCAGACATGCAGAGATGCGATTCACCACCTGGTTATCAGAAGGGGGAAAGGAGAAGATTAGTTGTGTATCGTCAGCGTAGCAATGATAGGAGAGGCCATGTGAGGATATGACAGAGCCAAGTGACTTGGTGTATAGGGAGAAAAGGAGAGGGCCTAGAACTGAGCCCTGGGGGACACCAGTGGTGAGAGCACGTGGTGCGGAGACAGCTTCTCGCCACGCCACTTGGTAGGAGCGACCGGTCAGGTAGGACGCAATCCAGGAGTGAGCCGCGCCGGAGATGCCCAGCTCGGAGAGGGTGGAGAGGAGGATCTGATGGTTCACAGTATCAAAGGCAGCAGACAGGTCTAGAAGGACAAGAGCAGAGGAGAGAGAGTTAGCTTTAGCAGTGCGGAGAGCCTCCGTGACACAGAGAAGAGCAGTCTCAGTTGAATGACCGGTCCTGAAACCTGACTGGTTTGGATCAAGAAGGTCATTCTGAGAGAGATAGCAAGAGAGTTGGCTAAAGACGGCACGCTCAATAGTTTTGGAAAGAAAAGAAAGAAGGGATACTGGTCTGTAGTTGTTGACATCAGTGGGATCGAGTGTTGGTTTTTTGAGAAGGGGAGCAACTCTCGCTCTCTTGAAGACGGAAGGGACATGGCCAGCGGTCAAGGATGAGTTGATCAGCGAGGTGAGGTAGGGGAGAAGGTCACCGGAGATGGTCTGGAGAAGAGAGGAGGGGATTGGGTCAAGCGGGCAGGTTGTTGGGCGGCCTGCAGTCACAAGTCGCAGGATTTTATCTGGAGAGAGAGGGGAGAAAGAAGTCAAAGCATAGGGTAGGGCAGTGTGAGTAGGACCAGCAGTGTCATTAGACTTAACAAACGAGGATCGAATGTCGTCAACCTTCTTTTCAAAGTGGTTGACGAAGTCATCCACAGAGAGAGAGGAGGGGGGGGGGCGGGGGGGGGGAGGATTCAGGAGGGAGGAAAATGTGGCAAAGAGCTTCCTAGGGTTAGAGGCAGATGCTTGGAATTTAGAGTGGTAGAAAGTGGCCTTAGCAGCAGAAACAGATGAAGAAAATGTAGAGAGGAGGGAGTGAAAAGATGCCAGGTCGGCAGGGAGTTTAGTTTTCTTCCATTTCCGCTCCGCTGCCCGGAGCTCTGTTCTGTGAGCTCGCAATGAGTCATCAAGCCACGGAGCTGGAGGGGAGGACCGAGCCGGCCGGGAGGATAGGGGACACAGAGAGTCAAAGGATGCAGAAAGGGAGGAGAGGAGGGTTGAGGAGGCAGAATCAGGAGATTGGAGGGAGAAGGATTGAGCAGAGGGAAGAGATGATAGGATGGAAGAGGAGAGAGTAGTGGGAGAGAGAGAGCGAAGGTTGCGGCGGCGCATTACCATCTGTGTAGGGGCAGAGTGAGTAGTGTGGGAGGAGAGCGAGAGAGAAAAGGAAACAAAGTAGTGGTCGGAGACATGGAGGGGAGTTGCAGTGAGATTAGTAGAAGAGCAGCATCTGGTAAAGATGAGGTCAAGCGTATTGCCTGCCTTGTGAGTAGGGGGGGATGGTGAGAGGGTGAGGTCAAAAGAGGAGAGAAGTGGAAAGAAGGAGGCAGAGAGAAATGAGTCAAATGTGGACATAGGGAGGTTGAAATCCCCCAAAACTGTGAGGGGTGAGCCATCCTCAGGAAAGGAACTTATCAAGGCGTCAAGCTCATTGATGAACTCTCCAAGGGAACCTGGAGGGCGATAGATGACAAGGATATTAAGCTTAAATGGGCTAGTGACTGTGACAGCATGGAATTCAAATGAGGAGATAAACAGATGGGTTAGGGGAAAAATTGAGAATGTCCACTTGGGAGAGATGAGGATTCCTGTGCCACCACCCCTCTGACCAGATGCTCTCGGGGTATGCGAGAACACATGGTCAGACGAGGAGAGAGCAGTAGGAGTATTAGTGTTTTCAGTGGTAATCCATGTTTCCGTCAGCGCCAGGAAGTCGAGGGACTGGAGATTAGCATAGGCTGGGATGAAGTCAGCTTTGTTGGCAGCAGAACGGCAGTTCCAGAGGCTGCCTGAGACCTGGAACTAATCAGTGTCTGACCGCGAGACGTATGTACAGGTACTTGAGAAATGTTATCCCTGTTTCATTGTTGTTTCAGTCGTAGTTAGTATTTCGTATGTTTGCTGTCAGCCTGTTTTTGGAGACCAATTTGCTCCTCCTTTATTTTACCGTAACAAGTCCGTTATTTTGTATCCTGGCTTTGGAACCACCAGTAAAGATCCTTGTCTCTGCCTACTGCCTACTGTCTCTCCGGCACCGCACCTGGGTCACACTTCACACCAACCCTTACAGAAAACTGAGCCAATATGGACCCAGCAGAGGCAGCACGCAGGGAGCTATGCTGAACCAGCACGACTGCACCCTGCAGCAGATCACGAGAATCTCCGCCTGCTGACGATTGCCGTGCTGAGCCGGGTGGACACCCGACCAGCTCCGGCAGCCAGCAGAGCGGAAGCCGCGGCAGCGGCGTCTCCAGTCTCGCCTGTGACATCGCGGGAACCCCGCCTACCACCTCCGGAGAGGTACGACGGACGTCCAGAGGGCTGCAGGGAATTCCTCACCCAGTGTTCCCTGGTATTCAGCCTACAACCCTCCTCCTTCCCGACGGAGCAGGGCCGGGTGGCCTACATTATCACTCTGTTGATGGTCGGGCCCTTTCCTGGGCTACTGCGTAGTGGGAGAGCCAAACTCTGGCTTGCTCCGACTCCTACCAATTCACCTGGGAGCTATGCAAGGTGTTCGACACCTCTCGGGTGGTGTCGGGGCACGAGGTCGGGAGGCGGCTCACGGCCTTTCGGGTGGGTGACCGTTCGGTGGCAGACTACTCCATGGAGGTCCGGACCCGGGCTCGAAAGGCAGGATGGAGGAGGCTGTCTTGGTCGTCCTTTACGCGCAGGGGCTATCGGAGGGGATGAAGGACTCTCCTTCAGGGAGCTGCCTGAGCAACTGGATGGCCTCGTCGACCTCTCGGTGCGGGTAGACAATCAGCGTCGTGAGAGGGCGCACGAGAGAGGAATGACGCAAGGCGCGCTTGTCCAGGATGGAGAAGCAGAGGCGTCTGCGCCAGGGACGTTGCCTGTACTGCGACCAGGCAGGTCACCACTACGATTCATGCCCGGAGAAGCCAGGAAACGGGAGCCCAACTCCAGAGACTCCCTGACTTTTCTCCCCGTCAGGGTTCAGTGGGCCCGCGGTGCACAATGCGCGTCTGGCACATGCATTGGTGGATTCGGGGGCCGTGGGCAACCTGATGGACTCGCGTCCCAAGCTGGCCCAAGGGTGGAGCGTTCCGTTACCCTCCCTCTCTGAGCCAGTTCCTACCTCCTCACAGGCCATACGACTGCACTATCGATCTCCTGCCGGGTGCCATGCCCACACGAGGGCGATTGTTTTCCTTGTCCCGGCCGGAGACGCTGGCCATGAGGGAGTATATCGACGAGGCATTCGTCGAGGGTCACATCCGTCCCTCTACCTCACCTGCGGGCGCGGGCTTCTACTTCGGGGGAAAAAGAACGGTGGGCAGCGGCCGTGCATTGATTACCGGGCGCTCAACGACATCACGGTTAAGAACCGCTAACCTCTCCCCCTAATGACGACGGCATTCGAGTCATTGCAGGGAGCCCGGGTCTTCACCAAGCTGGACTTACGAAATGCCTACAACCTGGTGAGGATTTGGGAGGGGGACAAGTTGAAGACGCTTTTAACACACCCAGTGGGCATTACGAGTACCAAGTCATGCCGTTCGGTCTAGCCAATGCGCCTGCGGTGTTCCAGGCATTGGTCAATGACGTGCTCCGGGACCTCCTCGACTACAGCGTCTTCGTGTATTTTTGGATGACATCCCAATATTTTCAAAAGACATGAGTTAACACCAGCAGCTCGTTCGGCAGGTCCTCCAACACCTTCTCCGTCACCAGCTCTACGTCAAGGCGGAGAAGTGCATGTGCCACACAGAGACAGTCTCCATCCTGGGGTTCATCGTCACCCAGGGGGACCTACGGATGGGCCCAGCCATGGTAAGCGCAGAACTGGATTGGCCCCAGCCCTCCTCCCTCAAGCAACTACGACGTTTTTTTAGGGTTTGCTAATTTTTATAGCCGATTGATTTGCAATTTTATCTCCCTAGCCGCTCCCCTGACAGCCATCACCCAGACGAGCATGCGCTCCTTCGCCTGGAGCCCGGAAGCGGGGAATGCATTTAATGCGCTTAAGCAGCACTTTACATCAGCCCCTGTCCTAGGGCATCCTGATACGTCCCTGCCGTTCATTGTGGAGGTGGATGCTTCAGACGTTGCGGTGGGAGCAATCCTGTCCCAGCGGTTCCTCACGGACGGTAAGACTCACCCCTGCACGTTTTACTCCCGTCGGCTGTCCCCGGCGACGCTGAATTACGACGTGGGGAACCGTGAGCTGCTAGCGGTCAAGCTCGCCCTGGGGGAGTGGAGGCATTGGCTAGAGGGGGCCGCCCATCCATTTGTCGTATGGACTGACCATAGGAACTTAGCCTACATTCAGGGGGCCAAGAGGCTCAACTCGCGCCAGGCCAGGTGGGCATTGTTCTTCACCAGGTTCCGGTTCACGATCTCATACCGTGGACCTGGTTGAGAGGGACGACCCCATTGTCCCCAACGCCCTGATTGCTACCCCAGTTTCATGGGGAATCGATAGGCTGGTCAGAGCAGCGCTACAGCTTGCCCGGTGTGTGTGCGCACGTAGAGCTCACATCAGCCCGCAGCAGGGGTGCTCCGACCCCTGCCTATCCCCAAGCGCCCCTGGTCCCACATCTCGCTGGATTTCATTTCCACCCTACCCCGCTCTGATGGATACACAGTCATCCTGGTCGTTGTGGACCGGTTTTCGAAGGCTGCCCACTTCATTCCCGTTCTCAAATTCCTGTCGGCCCGGGAGATGGCTAAATTGGTGTTGCAGCACGTTTTCCGGGTCCACGGCCTTCCCCAAGATGTGGTGTCGGATCGGGGCCCTCAGTTCGCCTCCAGGTTCTGGAAGGCTTCGCCACCTGCCTCGGCGCCACCTGCCTTCCGGGGGCACTGTTACAGGAGGGGTGTCGCAGTTCCGGAGCGACCCACTAGGTGTCATCCTCCGACAACCTTAGGCACCTCCTTACTCACAGTCTGGATTAATCATTATCCTATTGGTGTCACCTGTGTCTACCTGTTCACCTGTGTATTTATGCCCTCACTTCCCTGTGTTCCCTTGCTCAGTTTTCTCTGCTAGTTTCTCAATGCCAAACAGTACTAATCAGTGTCTGACCGCGAGACGTATGTACAGGTACTTGAGAAGTGTTATCCCTGTTTCATTGTTGTTTCAGTCGTAGTTAGTATTTCGTATAACCACTTCTGATAACCAGGTGGCGAATCGCATCTCTGCATGTCTGGCAGACATATCAGTATGGATGACGGATCACCACCTCAAGCTGAACCTTGGCAAGACGGAGCTGCTCTTCCTCCCGGGGAAGGACTGCCCGTTCCATGATCTCGCCATCATGGTTGACAACTCCGTTGTGTCCTCCTCCCAGAGTGCGAAGAGCCTTGGCGTGACCCTGGACAACACCCTGTCGTTCTCCGCTAACATCAAGGCGGTGACCCGATCCTGCAGGTTCATGCTCTACAACATTCGGAGAGTACGACCCTGCCTTACACAGGAAGCGGCACAGGTCCTAATCCAGGCACTTGTCATCTCCCGTCTGGATTACTGCAACTCGCTGTTGGCTGGGCTCCCTGCCTGTGCCATTAAACCCCTACAACTCATCCAGAATGCCGCAGCCCGTCTGGTGTTCAACCTTCCCAAGTTCTCTCACGTCACCACGCTCCTCCGCACACTCCACTGGCTTCCAGTTGAAGCTCGCATCTGTTACAAGACCATGGTGCTTGCCTATGGAGCTGTGAGGGGATCGGCACCTCTGTACCTTCAGGCTCTGATCAGTCCCTACACCCAACCGAGGGCATTGCGTTCATCCACCTCTGGCCTGCTGGCTCCCCTTCCTCTGCGGAAGCATAGTTCCCGCTCAGCCCAGTCAAAACTGTTCGCTGCTCTGGCACCCCAATGGTGGAACAAGCTCCCTCACGACGCCAGGACAGCGGAGTCACTCACCACCTTCCGGAGACATTTGAAACCCCACCTCTTTAAGGAATACCTGGGATAGGATAAAGTAATCCTTCTACCCCCCCCCCCCCCTATTTTTTTATTTTTTATTTTATTAAAAAATATTGTAAAGTGGTTATCCCACTGGCTATAGGGTGAATGCACCAATTTGTAAGTCGCTCTGGATAAGAGCGTCTGCTAAATGACGTAAATGTAAATGTATGTTTGCTGTCAGCCTGTTTTTGGAGCAATTTGCGCCTCCTTTATTTTATCGTAACAAGTCCGTTATTTTTTATCCTGGCTTTGGTACCACCAGTAAAGATCCTTGTTTCACCATCTCTGCCTGCTGCCTACTGTCTATCCGGCACCGCACCTGGGTCACACCTCACACCAACCCTTACATAAACCTACCCCTGCATATTTGCGCTAGAACTACTGTACATACAGGGAGGTTAAATTTCAGATGTTCCAATAGCTGATATTCCAATTGCTGACTAACATCAATAAGGGGTATTATTGAGAGTACCGTCTGCTGAACGATCCGGCTGTTGTACACCTGGGTGATGTCACGGGAGGTTTCCTGACACACCTGGTCCACGTGTGTCAGCAGTGCCACTTGATGCACACCTACAAAACACATTTGTTTCACACACTGTCAACTGACAGAATTGACCACAGTTCCAACAACCATTACTGCCATTGCTAAAACACTTCCTATTGTGCTCACCCAGGTCACTGATGTGTTCTCGGAGCTGTTGGAAGGTGGCGCCTAGGCCTTTGGTGTAGCTGGACACTTTAGAAGCATCCACCACAAAGACGACACAGTGGACCTTGTCTTTAAGGGACGGCTTCTTCACATAGCCCACAGTCTCCGATCTCACAGGTTGCTCAGGACTGAACTGTAGAGGATGAATGGGAATGAGAACATTAGCTTGGTTATTCAAACCAACCAGCTGAGAGAGTATTGGAATATTCTCTACCAAACAGAGACATTTATATCAGGGGTGAGCAACTCCTGTCCTGTGAGGCTGCCTGCATGCATATGTTCCAACCCAGCACTAACTCACCTGATTCATAATAGTGGTCTAAATTGCAGACTGTGATTAGTTGAATCAGGTGTGTTAGAGCTAAAACGGAACAAAAACCGGCACACACTGTGCCCCGTTGCTAAACTCTGAGTTATATGAACGTTGACCCCCAATACTTGCACTCTGTTTTACACACACCGGTGGCACCTGTGTCCGTTCTCCCTCACGTACCTTGTGCCCCTCGGGTGCATGGCCTTTGATGATAGCCAGAGTATCATGGAGGGTTAGTCCAGCGGTCTCACCATCTCCCAGACCCATGACATCACACAGGACCAGCGCAGTAGGCTGCTTTGGATTCCGCCCACGAATGTTGAACAACTGGAGCTAAGACAGAGGACATAGACAGAATTATATGTGTTAGGAAATACTATGTGGTTTACAATATGGAATGATTAACAATAATAGTTTTTGTAACTTAACTCAATATTTTGAACCAGTCAAGTATCTTTATTTTGCATGTAATTTATCTATATCAACCAGCCCCAAAACTCCCAGTTTCTCACAAACTCAAATACTTTGTTGTTTTTTACCTCTACCTTTTTGGTGAAGCTGGCAGAGGAAGAGCCAACCATGGCCCGGTTAGTGACTCTTCCTGTGAAGACTGACTGAACAGAGCTGATGAAGCTGGACTTGCCGGCTCCGACAGGCCCCAGCAGCAGAACCCGAGCCTCAGACACAGCCTCACAACCAGGCTTATATGAACTGATAGACTCCATCAGGGTCTCCCTGCGACTGGGTAAACATGGCTCATTTTAAATTAATTTTGATTACACCAGATGTAGTCTCACGTAGCCATGCCTCCAAATCCTGTTGTTATGTCACGACTCTTTTGGAGGTATGGAGAATTTTGTATTAGTCAAAACGTCTAGAATGGTCTGGTAACTTCCAGCAGCTACATTTTTATTGAATGTTACATTTCAAGAACCCTCCCCACACATGCCCGTAGAAGGGGTGCTGCGTGTTATGTTTGTCACTGTCTTCCGACCGGGTAGGAAACATAGCATTGTCTACCCATGTGTTTAGTACCTTATTAGGTGTACATAGGTACGTTTGAGTTTATTGGTGTGATAGCCTACTCACTCCTCAGTCCATGCCACCTCCCTCCATGGGGTCTCCATCTTACTTTGCCACTGTTCTGCCCCTGGCAGGCCTAGAGTCGATAGAGTATAGTGTAAGAGCAAACTAGTGAACATCATGAATGTTTAGGTAAGTCTAGTCTACTGGAAAGTGGCAATTAAACAGCACACAATACGCTATTTTGAAATTACTCCGGCATCATGATAGTCTATGCTGTTATTTTGCTTACCTGCAAAACCCCCAGATGAGTTTATCCCATTCTCCTCAGAGTTTTTTGTCATTCTCCTCCTGGACTTGGATTTGTCGTCCCCTGCCGATGTAGTCACTGGGATTTCAGAGACTAACGGTAATACTGAGAAAGATGTACCCCCACCAAAAACTGGTGCAGAAATCTCAGTTAGGCCTACCTTAACAGGTTGCATGAAGCCGCCGAAGGACATGCTGTCAATGTAATAACATATTCAATCATTTATCACAACTTTCAAAAATGTTGTGCCAATTACAGTCATCCTAAAATCAGATAGGGTTCAAAGAAGAACCTAATTTACTTAGCTACTTACTTACTTAAAGTAGCCTAAATAATGCAAAACAGTAGTGAGAAGTTTGCTTGGAGATTTTATCGCTGACCCAGCTGAGTTCAGTTTAACATGCAAGCATTACCTATCTGCTTCTCAGTAGAGAAGTGTGTCTGTGGGGTGTGTCTGTTATGAGGAAACGAAAGATAGGAAGTTCTTCTTCTTCTCTGGCACGCACAAATGTAATGTGCATGCCGCCACCTACTGAGCGGGATGTTAACAATATGTCCAAAACAGTTTCAATGTGGGGAAGAAGACAAAACATCATACAAACTACCAATAAAATAAAACTAAATCAACCTACTTTTCTGTTAAAAACCTAATCATATCATATCCCTACACAGGCTCAAGGGGAGCCAGGGAGGGCGGGCCCCTTCCGGTGCCAGTACTCCTTGTGTAACAGAGTTAAGAACGTGCCGTAAGCTCACTCCACAGCTAGCTTGAAATGTTGCTGATGGAGCTACCCAATTGGTACCTTTTGTATACCTCAAACAGTTGATACGTTGTCAAGGAGGGTGGTCACTTGTGTTGCAAAGTAGAGGATCACTCGTTCGAGCCCAGTATGGCTACAGGGACAGTGTTTCATACCAGTATAGCTGTGTTCAGCATAAGCACAGCCTACTCAGCATAGACTTAGGCTATAGAATAATTATAATAAGTGTATATCCGAGTTTCAGTGTAGGCTACTTGTGTAGTAATTAGAACAGTGTTTGAACCAGCGATCTTTCTCGTTTCAGGGCAATCTGTGCCATAAAGTTCCAGACCTCACACTTCCATCAAAGGCATGAGAATGAGAGACTACAGGAGGATTATCCCACCGTTGCTGCCAGTGTAGCAATTGAAGGGGAAGTGCTCAAACTGCACCAACTTGCAACCCTGCTGTTACAGGGATAGCTCACTACCACTCATGCTTAATAAGTCCAGACCTCTTGGAAGAGGCTGTACACTGACATACTGAGGCTACACTTAGGCCTATTGCTTGAAATACTAAATTGATGCAACACATTTTCAGCAAGACACCAATTTCCCTCTGCTGCTGGGCTCACCATTAGCAAACTCATCTAATAGGAACAGAGATGATATCGGGACTATCTGAAAACATAATGCATTGATTAGAACACAACAGGATGTGCAATGATTTTCATGTATTGTGAAAGACGTACTATAAGTGAAATTAGGTTATTTATTATGGAATTTACCAGATGATGCCCTGTTACATTATATAGTGGTTTGCTTGATTGAATATGTTCATATTACTTGGTGTAGTCCAGGGTGCTTGCTTAGGCCTGTAAGTTTAAAAAAAGATTATATTTTTCAATGCCAATATAACACTCCGTTTAGAGGGTTCGGAGATTGGAACGTCAACTATAGGAAAGTTAAGACCAGACAGGAGTTTTACAAAACATGTCTTTATTCTCTAGAACCAACCCCCATCTCAATCATTTCACTTGACACACAGGAATTTATAGACACAGGCCAGACATTACTAATCAATGATCATCAACTCCAATTCACACTCTTACACCAATAAAGTTTCTATCACTGTACCAAAATGGAAATAAACTGTTATCTTATAGTGAATTTATTCAAATCACCCAACATTTTAAATTATGATTGGAGGCTTATTTTTAACAGATAAAGATAATAGCTAGCTAGCACTCTTCAATCCCCAAATAGCAATTTTTTATATCGCTTAAAGGATTCAGTTTCTCTCTACAGTTATATTACAGAGGAGAGCAAAACGTGTGGAGGAAGAGGATGGAGTTGGTCTTGTGTCTATAGAAAAGAGGAAAAGGTGGTCTGCCGTGAAGCATTCCAGTCGGATCATACAAAACGTCACCATCATAGACTTAGGAATAATAATACTAATCAAATATATATATAATAACATGTATTTCGTGAACCAACACTCGCAATTGGCTTCCCCCCCTTACTAGCTCTGACTTTGCTGATAGCTACTTTATTGAGGATATGTGATATGTGGTTGTCCCACCTAGCTATCTTAAGATGAATGCACTACCTGTAAGTCGCTCTGGATAAGAGCGTCGGCTAAATGACTACAATTTAAATTTACTAGGATCTCTAGGGTCACTATGCCAGTGGTGGCCTCCTCGTTTATCTCCAGAAAGGCCTTATGGGACACCGTAGACAGGAAGAGTGACCCTGTCCCCGTTGTACGTGTCCCTCACCTGGAGAAGCGGGTAGATGCATCCCAAAATGGCGACCGGGGTATGGGCGAGTGGGTATGTTGAAAGAAAATAATGGGCGTGTGGAAAGGAGTTGGTGAGTCGAAAGCACTCTGCTATAGGTTAGACCAGGGGTGTCAAACTCATTCCATGAAGGGCCTAGTGTCTGCGGGTTTTTGGTTTTAACTTTCAAATAAGACATAGACAACCAGGTGAGGGGAGTTCTTTATTAATTAGTGACCTTCATTCATCAATCAAGTACAAAGGTGGAGCGAAAACCAGCAGACACTCGGCCGTCCGTGGAATGAGTTTGACACGTGGGTTAGACTATTTTCATTGAGCTGTGTATTTTTCTTCTTCCATTTCTTACCTTGCAACCACCTTACATTGACCTACCATACAATGAGAGTTTGGACTTTGTTTTTAAGACAGAGGATGAGTCTGAGTCATTTTTCACTGTCAGTTTTACACACAAAAAATAATGGTACATTTTCAGTTATAAAACTGATGATTGTTTTTTTAAAATTAATAGTATTGATGATGGGTGTACTTCATGCATGGAATGAATGTACAGCTGTCACCCTGATATTGGCTACTAGGTAGCTACTTCCCACGCTGTTGCCAGACAGTAGTAATTGTCAAGCGGGAGCGAACGTCACTCTACCCTTGTTGTTGCCGTTCATGCCCTCCCCATTGAGTAGTAGACTGTATGTATGAATCAAGGTGACATCTAGATGGTTATCAATATTAGTTATTTCTTGTGTAAGTTGCTATGCTACTTGAAATAAAATAATGTGAGAGAAAGAAATGGTCACGTTAGCGACACAACCTTGACACGAAATAGGAAGCACATCAAGTCGGCAGGCACAATGATTCAACACCCGGTGCACTGGTTGCCGTTGCCGGTTTATCAACTGGTCGTGTAGTCAAATTAGCCATGCAAAACGGTCTTGAGTGAAAACAAATCTGCCCAATTAGCTGATTCACTTTCCATACACCCACTCTTTTTGACACACCCACTCGCCCATACTCCGATCACCATATTGGGCTGCAGCTAACCATACTTGCTCACCTGTGCTAAGCTAACACGTTGTACCTATATACATGTGGTCAGTGACCCATAACCCCATGTGAGAGTGCCCCTAGTGTACAAAACAGGTTAAGTCATCCCTAGACAGACAACTTATACACAGTTCAAAATGGCTCTTACACATTCGTTTTACTCAAAGCAAGACATCTGTTAACAAGTTAACAATAGTGTAAGCAAGTTATAAAACATGATAAACATATGTTATACATTTTTATATTACACAGCATTTCACAGCCTTTTTAAAGAGACAGGTTAGGCATTGTTGCTGCACAGTCCTGGAAGTGCAGATCCACATACTGCAGGATGTGGTCCACAGCACTGAGCAGAAGGATGTCTGTGTTCTCATCAACGTCCAGCTCAGACGAGTAGTTCTTCACCGGGACGATGTAGGAGGTGGACATGCCAAGCAGAGCCCCCGCCTTATTAATCTACACACACACACACACGCACGCACGCACACACGCACGCACTCACACACACACACACACACACACACACACACACACATTTGTTTTACTATACTTGTGATTACCAAACAATTGATTCCTATTCAAAATCCTATTTTCCCTAACCTTTAACGTAACCCTAACCCTGATACTAATCCTAACCGTAATTGTAACCCTAGCCCTAAACCTGTTACAGGAGGGGGTTGCAGTTCATCCTCCGACAACCTTAGGCACCTCCTCACTCACAGTCTGGATTAATCATTATCCTATTGGTGTCACCTGTGTCTACCTGTTCACCTGTGTATTTATGCCCTCACTTCCCTGTGTTCCCTTGCTCAGTTTTCTCTGCTAGTTTCTCGATGCCAAGCAGTACTAATCAGTGTCTGACCGCGAGACGTATGTACAGGTACTTGAGAAGTGTTATCCCTGTTTCATTGTTGTTTCAGTCGTAGTTAGTATTTCGTATGTTTGCTGTCAGCCTGTTTTTGGAGACCAATTTGCTCCTCCTTTATTTTATCGTAACAAGTCCGTTATTTTGTATCCTGGCTTTGGTACCACCAGTAAAGATCCTTGTCTCTGCCTACTGCCTACTGTCTATCCGGCACCGCACCTGGGTCACACCTCACACCAACCCTTACATAAACCTACCCCTGCATATTTGCGCTAGAACTACTGTACATACAGGGAGGTTAAATTTCAGATGTTCCAATAGCTGATATTCCAATAGCTGACTAACATCAATAAGGGGTATTATTGAGAGTACCGTCTGCTGAACGATCCGGCTGTTGTACACCTGGGTGATGTCACGGGAGGTTTCCTGACACACCTGGTCCACGTGTGTCAGCAGTGCCACTTGATGCACACCTACAAAACACATTTGTTTCACACACTGTCAACTGACAGAATTGACCACAGTTCCAACAACCATTACTGCCATTGCTAAAACACTTCCTATTGTGCTCACCCAGGTCACTGATGTGTTCTCGGAGCTGTTGGAAGGTGGTGCCTAGGCCTTTGGTGTAGCTGGACACTTTAGAAGCATCCACCACAAAGACGACACAGTGGACCTTGTCTTTAAGGGACGGCTTCTTCACATAGCCCACAGTCTCCGATCTCACAGGTTGCTCAGGACTGAACTGTAGAGGATGAATGGGAATGAGAACATTAGCTTGGTTATTCAAACCAACCAGCTGAGAGAGTATTGGAATATTCTCTACCAAACAGAGACATTTATATCAGGGGTGAGCAACTCCTGTCCTGTGAGGCTGCCTGCATGCTTATGTTCCAACCCAGCACTAACTCACCTAATTCATAATAGTGGTCTAAATTGCAGACTGTGATTAGTTGAATCAGGTGTGTTAGAGCTAAAACGGAACAAAAACCGGCACACACTGTGTCCCGTTGCTAAACTCTGAGTTATATGAACGTTGACTCCCAATACTTGCACTCTGTTTTACACACACCGGTGGCACCTGTGTCCGTTCTCCCTCACGTACCTTGTGCCCCTCGGGTGCATGGCCTTTGATGATAGCCAGAGTATCATGGAGGGTTAGTCCAGTCTCCCCATCTCCCAGACCCATGACATCACACAGGACCAGCGCAGTAGGCTGCTTTGGATTCCGCCCACGAATGTTGAACAACTGGAGCTAAGACAGAGGACATAGACAGAATTATATGTGTTAGGAAATACTATGTGGTTTAAAAATATGGAATGATTAACAATAATAGTTTTTGTAACTTAACTCAATATTTTGAACCAGTCAAGTATCTTTATTTTGCATGTAATTTATCTATATCAACCAGCCCCAATACTCCCAGTTTCTCACATATTTTCAAAAAAATTTTTACCTCTACCTTTTTAGTGAAGCTGGCAGAGGAAGAGCCAACCATGGCCCGGTTAGTGAATCTTCCTGTGAAGACTGACTGAACAGAGCTGATGAAGCTGGACTTGCCGGCTCCGATAGGCCCCAGCAGCAGAACCCGAGCCTCAGACACAGCCTCACAACCAGGCTTATATGAACTGATAGACTCCATCAGGGTCTCCCTGCGTCTGGGTAAACATGGGTCATCATCAATTCAATATGATTACATGGTGGATAGTTTTGTAGGCCTAGTTGGTGTACATAGGTAAGTTTGAATGTATTGGTGTAATACCCTACTCACTCCTCAGTCCATGCCACCTCCCTCCATGGGGACTCCATCTTACTTTGCCACTGTTCTGCCCCTGGCAGGCCTAGAGTCGAAAGAGTATATTGTAAGAGCAAACCAGTAAAAATCATGAATGTTCAGGTAAGTCTACTGGAAAGTGGCAATGAGTCTCACAGCACACAATAGGCTATTAAAGGCCCAGTGCAGTCAGTACAGATTTCCCTGTTAGGCTATTAAAGGCCCAGTGCAGATTTCCCTGTTAGGCTATTAAAGGCCCAGTGCAGATTTCCTTGTTAGGCTATTAAAGGTCCAGTGCAGATTTCCCTGTTAGGCTATTAAAGGCCCAGTGCAGATTTCCCTGTTAGGCTATTAAAGGCCCAGTGCAGATTTCCCTGTTAGGCTATTAAAGGCCCAGTGCAGATTTCCCTGTTAGGCTATTAAAGGCCCAGTGCAGATTTCCTTGTTAGGCTATTAAAGGTCCAGTGCAGATTTCCCTGTTAGGCTATTAAAGGCCCAGTGCAGATTTCCCTGTTAGGCTATTAAAGGCCCAGTGCAGATTTCCCTGTTAGGCTATTAAAGGCCCAGTGCAGATTTCCCTGTTAGGCTATTAAAGGCCCAGTGCAGATTTCCCTGTTAGGCTATTAAAGGCCCAGTGCAGATTTCCCTGTTAGGCTATTAAAGGCCCAGTGCAGATTTCCCTGTGTTTTATATATATTTCCACACTATGAGGTTGGAATAGTACTGTGAAATTGTGAAAATGATGATAATGCCTTTTTAGAGTAAGAGCTGTTTGAAATGACCGCCTGAAATGTTTGCCTTTTTGGGTGGGATGGAGTTTTGGCCTGCCTGGTGACATCAGGCAGTAAATTAGTTAATAGACTAATAAGAAAGAGAGTTCTAAACCTCTCTGCCAATAACAGCTAGTTTTCAGTTTTCCCTTCTGCACTCCCATACAGTCCTAGCAAAATTATTGCTTGAGAAATTGCTCTTTGCTAAGAAGCAATTGTTGTTTCTTTTTGACCATTTTCATTGGAAACAATCACAGTAAGGTACTTAATTGTTACCCAGAAATGATTTGATATTGAGATAAAAAATTGGACCTTTAAGAAATTACTCCAACATCATAATAGTCTACACTTATTTGCTTACCTGCAACCCACCCAGGTGTGTTTATCACATTCTCCTTGCAGACTTTACTCGAGTCAGGTTTGCCGTCCTCTCCCAACAGGACTGTTGCCGAAAGTGTTGATGAAGGTTTCTCACCATGCAAAACTGGTGCAGGAAAATTATGAAGACTTCCAGATACCGTCCGGAAGTTGAAGGACATGCTGTCAATGTAATAACATATTCATATACCATCATGCAACATTGAATTCTTAAAGCCAATGATCGTCCAAAAATTTGATAATGTTCAAAGAGTAACTTAAAGTAAACTATACAAACCTAGCGAGATTGCTTGGAGATTTTATCCACGTGCAGCTGAGCCTACGGTTCAGTTTGACCTGCAAGTGTTGTGTATCTGTTTCTCAGTAGACTTGGGGGTGTGTCTGTTGTGTGGAAACGAAAGTGATATTTTGAAATCCTGTTTCTACTTGTCTTTCTTTCATACCAGTAGAGCTGTGTTCAGCCTCCAGTAAAAACGAACCTCAGTTTACTCAACATTAACTTAGACTTATAATAATTATAATAAGTCTATCATAATTTTATAAAGGTAAATTACGGACTAGCAGGAAGAGGGATGTGACTGTTGGAAGCACAATCTATAACTGTTGTGGGTTCAGCAGGAGTGTTGCCCACATACTGAATCTAAGGATCCAATGCTATCCGAGCTTCAGTATAGGCTACTTGTGTAGTGATTAGAACAGTGTTTGAACCAACAATCTTTTTCATTGCAGAGCAATCTGTGCCATCAAGGTACAAACCTCACACTTCCATCAAAGGCATTATCATGAGAGACTGCCCGAGGATTATCCCATCATTGCCACCAGTGTATTAACTGAAGGGAAAGTGCTCGAACTGCACCAACTTGCGACCCTGTTGTGACAGGGAAAGCTAACTACCGCCCATGCTTTATAACGAAGTCCAGTCCTCTTGGAAGTTGTACTACCCTGGCATACTGAGCCTATACTTGCTTGAAATACTGAACTGATGCAACACATTTTCAGCAAGACATCAATTTCAATGAGACAGAAAACCAGAAAATGAATAACCCATCAAAAAACGTCATCAGAAAGTTTGGGGCGATTATGTTTTATCCAAATGTTTTACCTATGGACATGCTATTGTACACACACACTGTATGTCATTCACAGTCCTCTATGTAAATTAACACATCCCAACAATACAGTACAATATATGAGAGCCTAAAGGTAATGCTGCCTTTGCAGACTGTGATAGACACACATCTGCAGTCGAAATGGTCTGATGAGTTTGTGCACAACATGTTGGAAGGCAGTTCCTCTGTGAGACTCAGTTGGACTATCAAACATAGCCTACCTTCTCTCCAGAGAAACCTCAAGTAGAGTCTATACAGTAAGGCAGTCTGGGATAGAAGGCTTATTTTTCATCATCTCACAGAACAGAGCACTGAACCAGCCCATGAAAGGGATAACGAGAATCATGTTACCCTTGTCAGTTATACAAAATGGTAAGTCAATTTCACAATAACAATTACAATAACAAAAGCTCTGACGAAGGCCTTGAGGCTGATACGTAAAGCTTAATAAAGAGCAGTGATGCTAGCAAGGGCAGTGATACTATCAAGAGCAGTGATACTATCAAGAGCAGTGATACTATCAAGAGCAGTGATACTAGCAAGAGCAGTGATACTATCAAGAGCAGTGATACTAGCAAGAGCAGTGATACTATCAAGAGCAGTGATACTATCAAGAGCAGTGATACTAGCAAGAGCAGTGATACTATCAAGAGCAGTGATACTAGCAAGAGCAGTGATACTATCAAGAGCAGTGATACTATCAAGAGCAGTGATACTAGCAAGAGCAGTGATACTATCAAGAGCAGTGATACTAGCAAGAGCAGTGATACTATCAAGAGCAGTGATACTATCAAGAGCAGTGATACTAGCAAGAGCAGTGATACTATCAAGAGCAGTGATACTAGCAAGAGCAGTGATACTAGCAAGAGGAGTGATACTATCAAGAGGAGTGATACTAGCAAGAGGAGTGATACTATCAAGAGGAGTGATACTATCAAGAGCAGTGATACTATCAAGAGCAGTGTGCGGGTTTCTTCTTTTTTCTCATCTTATTCAACTGTTACCATGCACCTGCAACAAAGATAGCTCAGATATGTGAGTGGCTTTTGAATTCTGTTTTAAAATAACAATCTCAAAATTGTTACACATCATAGGAAACATTATTTTGATATAACCGGATCGAGTGTTTGTTGGTTGTGGTCCGCAATGCATTTAAAGGCTTTACTGTCAGATACAGTACCCTACAACCATTCAGTAATTGTGACACTATGTCTCTGTGGAAGTTCAGTACGCATATTAAGACATTATGAAATGTAATGCATTTTCAAAACAGAATTGACTCGAGAACTACGGTTGTTTCTAGACCGGGCCACTGTCTTTAGCCCTATATGACTTGCCTTCTTTGACATTCTGTTGTGACTTCTACAGGTCTACATTTGAGAGAAGAGCTTATCAGTGAAAGTGGGGGAGGATGTAATTCTGGACTGCCCTCTGTCCACTAACTGTAGGGTGGAAACTGTGAGCTGGTACAGGCAGAGTCCAGGAGAGAGGATAGAGCTAGTACGGAGCTACCCCCTGTAAGAATATTCTAAGATAAATACACAATGCGGAGGACTAGAGGTCAAGAGGGAATTAACGATCAATGGAAATGGTTGTTTTTCAGTTCAACATCTGTTTAGAATCTGTGTAGGGGTTCCAACCAGGGACTCATAGCTACATGTGGCAAGTTCTCATTGGTCCAAATTGTCTGAAATGGGATACTTGGTATTTGGTCATTGGGCCAATTTTATTGCAAGGAATTCTAATTGGTCAACCATGGGCTTGGGTATAAACTACATCCTGTCTCTTTGTTCAGTGGAGAAACATTGAGGACAGGGAATAATTAACATCTACCATCTACTTTCCAGCATAACAACTATGATTTGTTCTCTTTGAATAAATATATTTTTCTCCCCCTGATTTGCTTTGGGGTCTGTGTTATTGAAGAATAACATCAACTGCTAACACCCCTGACCAACACCTCCCATCTGCTCTACGGTCAAGGCTTCCATCCCAACTAGTTCACTGTCCAGACCAACGATAGCAGCCCACTTCACCAGCAGGAGTTAGAGATCCATGGATCTAAAGAGAGTGACATGGCAGTTTATTACTGTAGATTTACAGAAGGACTTGAGAGAAACAACAACTGATTTGTAGAGATGAATGTAAGGTATACTATGTAGTAACATTGTACTGTACAGATGTAGGATCTTAATTTGATCACTCTTTTGTTGCTGAGTATGTTTTCTGCACAGCAGGAAATGCAAACAAATAGTTTATTCAAGGTTTAAAAAGGCTTCTAAGGTTTGTAATTTCCGCTTTAACATTTCTGACTGATTTGCCGTAACAAAATAATGATCAACCCCTACCAAAAAGATCCATTAATTATAATCCACATAATCATTCACATTTCCAGTTGCTGCAGGATTATTTTCCTGTTGTAGCAAACTGGCTCAAATTAAGATCCTACATCTGTATAGGGTACTCTGTATTGGTCTTCCAAAGCAACCCCTAATAAACTCTCAGGTTGATGTTGTTGTTTTGGTATTGCCATGTTCTAAGAGTGATTTATATACCAAGTGTCTTTCATGGTGTTTCATGGAATATTTCTAGTGGGTTGACTAACAGTATAATGGCAAAGGGAGAAGGGCAGAAACATATGTAAAGTTAAGCCACTTGTGGTTTACCACAGACAATCCTCATTGTCAGTATCCCCCCAAATGCTCCATAGTGGGCAGAACTGGAGAAGTCGTACCTGAGTCTACATCTGTTTCAGACACAACCACTTGTGCCAGCCGTTCTTGTTTTTCTATCCTCCTACAAACTGAATAACTGATTTACTTGTTTTGAGCCTGCGATAGAGGGGGACAAAATGTGCCTTGGGAAAACACTCATGTTCCACCCAGATAGTTTTTCACAACATTTCCTCTTTGCACCGTTGTCCCTCCTCTAGACCAACTTAGTTGTGAGAAAGTCTCTATCTTTAGAGGAGATTGCAATATGACTGTATCATTTATTGATATTCTCCTAATTAGTGATTAACTGACAGTTCTTAGCAGGATTGGGCTAAATGCTCAAATAAAAACCTGAGGTGAAGAACTATCTTTCCCTGCGGTAGAAGTCCATGTGAGAGGAGAGAGCTGTATGATACTGCAGGACAAGACACCAAGATCCTCAAGGGACTCAAGCAGTTGGGCTTTTCTCCTCTCCAGAGCACCAACTGAAACAGACCACTCAGCCAGAATGAACAGAGCACGAGGACTGTGTTTCACTTTACTACTACTGGGGTAACTTTCAGCTCAACTTTCAATGCAGATTGCACTGTAGGTACTGTGGATTATTGCAGTGTTCTGATGATAATTATGGTCATATTTTTCCTCAGGTGTGTAGATGGGAGCAAGCCCCCTCAAAGGGAAGTGGTATTCAGTAGAAGGATCCAACCCTTTGTTGAAGGTAGACTAGAATGAAATCCCATTTGCATGACTAAAATGTAAATGTAAAGCTAATTGTTATTGACACATTCTCCCACAATGCAGGCCACAATTGTGTCGTTCCACCAATTCGGTGCCTTTTGAGAAGTGTAACTTGGTCCAAAAAATGTTTGATTTCACCTAATTTTAACATTCTGTCATAAAGAGCCAATCAAATCAATTGTCACATGCTTTGAAGACAACAGGTGTAGACTAAAAATGAAATGCTTACTTACGGGTCCATTTCCAACAATGCAGAGTTAAATATAAGATGAAAAAAATGTAAATAGCAACACAAAGAATAAATACAGAGTGATTAACAAATAACAATAACAAGTAAAAAATAACATGGCTATATACAGGAAGTAGAAAATAACATGGCTATATACAGGGAGTAGAAAATAACATGGCTGTCTATAGGGAGTAGAAAACAACATGGTTATCTTTAGGGAGTAGAAAATAACATGACTATATACAATCTGAGACGACATTATGAAACGAAAACACGCGGACAAAAACAAGAATATGGACATGGAACAAAGGCTACAAAAGGCAGAGGAATTAAAACGAGGCCTCAAATCTCGACAGGCTCTGTTCAAAAAAGCCAAATCACAAGGCCAGGCTGCTGTCAAGGCCAGTTTTATTTTGGCAGAAGAGATCGCTAAATCAGCCCGGCCATTTACGGAGGGGGATTTCATCAAAAACTGCATGATTAAAGTTTGTGACGAAGTTTGCCCAGAAAAAAGGCAACTCTTTTTAAATGTGAGTCTGAGCAGAAACACCATTGCCGAGAGAGTAGACCAGTTGTCCATCAATCTAAAAGAGCAGCTTGTGAAAAAGGGAAAAGATTTCATTGCATATTCCTTGGCTGTGGATGAGAGCACCGACATTTCTGACATTGCCCAGTTGTCAATTTTCATCCGCGGAGTGGACTCCAGCCTAAGCGTGACAGAGGAGTTTTTGGCTTTACGTCCTATGCATGGCACAACTACGGGGCATGATTTGTATGAAGAGGTGTCAAGATGTGTAAATGAGATGGAGCTGCCTTGGGAAAAACTCGTGGGTTTGACAACCGACGGAGCACCTGCGATGTGTGGACACAGGAGCGGACTGGTGGCGAAGATACGGGAAAAGATGCAAGAGGAAAACGCGACAGGTGAGCTGACAGCTTATCATTGTATCATACACCAGGAAGCGTTGTGCGGTAAAGCCTTGAAAATGGAGCATGTAATGAGCATCATCACGCGCACAGTTAACTTTATCAGAGCCAAAGGTTTGAATCACCGCATGTTACTTCTCCTTAAACAAAGTGTTGTTTTTGATTAATAGATTTTTGCACTTTATTTTATTGTATTTCAATCCAATTATATTTTAAAAATATTTCAGTTGAGTGGATGATAGAAAATTGCTATTATTGTTTTTTTCTTTGAAGTAAATTTAGCCCACTTTTGCTAAAATAGAAAATATAGGCTACTGATGGGGAGTAGAAAATAACATGGCTATATATAGGGAGTAGAACATAACATGGCTGTCTATAGGGAGTAGAAAACAACATGGTTATCTTTAGGGAGTAGAAAATAACATGACTATATACAGGGAGTAGAAAATAACATGGTTATCTTTAGGGAGTAGAAAATAACATGGCTATATACAGGGAGTAGAAAATATGTCACGCCCTGACTCTGGGGACTGGTGTATTTCTATGTTGGCCGGTGTGGTTCCCAATCAGAGGCAGCTGTCGCTCGTTGTCTCTGATTGGGGACCATACTTAAGCAGCCTATTGGCACTAGTGGGTTGTGGGATCTTGTTCCGTGTGAGGTATGTTGTTTGTGTACCTTGGACTTCACGTTTCGTTTCGTTTGTTGTTTTGTCGTTGTTTATTCGGTTCAAATAAACATGTATGCATATCACGCTGCGCCTTGGTCTGACCCGTTCTTCAACGAACGTGACAGAAGATCCCACCAAACGAGGACCAAGCAGCGTGCCCAGGAAGAGCGAATAGCCATGTCACAGGTGGGCAAATGGTGGTCATGGGAGGAGATATTTGCGGGGAAAGGGCCTTGGGCGAAGGTAGTTGCCCAGGCAGGAGAGGAGAAACGGCGCCAACCGTGCCGACGACGGAGACCCGAGAGGCAACCCCAAGAAAAAAAAATATTTTGGGGGGGGCACACGGGGTGGATGACGAGGCTACAGGAAGCTAAAAGGGAGAAGGAGAGTGTAGAGGCACGGCGAGAGGAGCTGGTTAGGCAGCAGAAGGAGCGGGGGTTAATAAAGGGACCCAGTCCCGCTCCTCGCACCAAGCCAGTGGTGCGCATCGCCAGTCCGGCCCGGCCTGTTCCTGTTACTCGCACCAAGCCAGTGGTGCGCGTCGCCAGCCCGGTCCGGCCTGTTCCGGCCCCTCGCACCAAGCCAGTGGTGCGCGTCGCCAGCCCGGCCCGGCCTGTTCCTGCCCCTCGCACCAAGCCAGTGGTGCGCGTCGCCGGCCCGGCCTGTTCCTGCCCCTCGCACCAAGCCAGTGGTGCGCGTCGCCAGCCCGGTCCAGCCTGTTCCTGTCCCTCGCACCAAGCCAGTGGTGCGTGTCGCCAGCCCGGCCCGGCCTGTTCCTGCCCCTCGCACCAAGCCAGTGATGCGCGTCGCCAGCCCGGCCCGGCCTGTTCCTGCCCCTCGCACCAAGCCAGTGGTGCGCGTCGCCAGCCCGGCCCGGCCTGTTCCTGCCCCTCGCACCAAGCCAGTGGTGCGCGTCGCCAGCCCGGCCCGGCCTGTTGCTGCCCCTCGCACCAAGCCAGTGGTGCGCGTCGCCAGCCCGGTCCGGCCTGTTCCTGCTCCTCGCACCAAGCCAGTGGTGCGTGTGTCCTGTCCGGCACGGCCCGTGCCTGTTCCACCGGTGCCTGGTTCAGCTCCGGTCAGCTGCTCCACTCCGGAGCCAGAGCAATTCGCTTCACCGGGGTCCAGTCCAGCTCCGGTCAGCGGCTCCACTCCGGAGCCTGAGCAGTCCGCTCCACCGGTGCCCGGTCCACCTCCGGTCAGCGGCTCCAGTCCAGACCCAGACGTCAGCCCCTCTCCAGGTTCGGGGTCTCCCACACCAGGGTCCAGACAGGGCTTGGAGTATAGTGGGAGGAAGGAGAGGGGAAGCAACGCGCCGTGGTCTAGACCAGACCAGGGGCGCAATAGGGAGGCGAAGAGTGAGAGGTCGTCACGCCCTGAGCCGGATCCGCCTCCGAGGCGGAATGCCCACCCGGCCCCTACCCTGTTATGTGTATGTTGTGCGGTCGGAGTCCGCACCTTTGAGGGGGGGTACTGTCACGCCCTGACTCTGGGGACTCCTATTTGTGGAGTCAGGGTGTGTATATTCTATGTTGTGTAGTTCTATGTATATATTCTAGGAGTAGAATATACAGGGAGTAGAAAACAACATGGCTATCTTTAGGGAGTAGAAAATAACATGGCTATATACAGGGAGTAGAAAACAACATGGCTATATACAGGGAGTAGAAAATAACATGGCTATATACAGGGAGTAGAAAACAACATGGCTATCTATAGGGAGTAGGAAATAACATGGCTATAAATAGGGAGTAGAAAATAACATGGCTATATACAGGGAGTAGAAAATAACATGGCTATATACAGGGAGTAGAAAACAACATGGCTATCTATAGGGAGTAGGAAATAACATGGCTATATATAGGGAGTAGAAAATAACATGGCTATACAGTCGTGGTCAAAAGTTTTGAGAATGACACAAATACTAATTTTCACAAAGTCTGCTGCCTCAGTTTTGATGATGGCAATTTGCATATACTGCAGAATGTCATGAAGAGTGATCAGATGAATTGCAATTAATTGCAAAGTCCCTCTTTGCCATGAAAATGAACTTAATCCCCCCAAAAAAATTCCACTGCATTTCAGCCCTGCCACAAAAGGACCAGCTGCCATCATGTCAGTGATTCTCTCGTTAACACAGGTGAGAGTGTTGACGAGGACAAGGCTGGAGATCACTCTGTCATGCTGATTGAGTTAGAATAACAGACTGGAAGCTTTAAAAGGAGGGTGGTGCTTGAAATCATTGTTCTTCTTCTGTTAACTATGGTTACCTGCAAGGAAACACGTGCCGTCATCATTGCTTTGCACAAAAAGGGCTTCACAGGCAAGGATATTGCTGCTAGTAGGATTGCACCTAAATCAACCATTTATCGGATCATCAAGAACTTCATGGAGTAGGTTCAATTGTTGTGAAGAAGGCGTCAGGGCGCCCAAGAAAGTCCAGCAAGCGCCAGGACCGTCTCCTAAAGTTGATTCAGCTGCGGGATCGGGGCACCACCAGTGCAGAGCTTGCTCAGGAATGGCAGCAGGCAGGTGTGAGTGCATCTGCACGCACAGTGAGGCGAAGACTTTTGGAGGATGGCCTGGTGTCAAGAAGTGCAGCAAAGAAGCCACTTCTCTACAGGAAAAACATCAGGGACAGACTGATATTCTGCAAACGGTACAGGGATTGGACTGCTGAGGACTGGGGTAAAGTCATTTTCTCTGTTGAATCCTCTTTCCGATTGTTTGGGGCATCCGGAAAACACCTTGTCCGGAGAAGACAAGGTGAGCGCTACCATCAGTCCTGTGTCATGCCAACAGTAAAGCATCCTGAGACCATTCATGTGTGGGGTTGCTTCTCAGCCAAGGGAGTGGGCTCACTCACAATTTTGCCTAAGAACACAGCCATGAATAAAGAATGGTACCAACACATCCTCCGAGAGCAACTTCTCCCAACCATCCACGAACAGTTTGGTGACGACCAATGCCTTTTCCAGCATGATGGAGCACCTTGCCATAAGGCAAAAGTGATAACTAAGTGGCTCAGGAAACAAAACATCGACATTTTGGGTCCATGGCCAGGAAACTTCCCAGACCTTAATCCCATTGAGAACTTGTGGTCAATCCTCAAGAGGCGGGTGGACAAACAAAAACCCACAAATTCTGACAAACTCCAAGCATTGATTATACAAGAATGGGCTGCCATCAGTCCGGATGTGGCCCAGAAGTTAATGGCCGGCATGCCAGGGAGGATTGCAGAGGTCTTGAAAAAGAAGGGTCAACACCGCAAATATCGACTCTTTGCATAAACGTAATGTAATTGTCAATAAAAGCCTTTGACACTTATGGAATGCTTGTAATTATACTTCAGTATACCATAGTAACATCTGACAAAAATATATCATAACACTGAAGCAGCAAACTTTGTGAAGACCAATACTTGTGTCATTCTCAAAACCTTTGACCACGACTGTATACAGGGAGTAGAAAATAACATGGCTATATATAGGGAGTAGAAAATAACATGGCGGTCTATAGGGAGTAGAAAACAACATGGCTATCTTTAGGGAGTAGAAAATAACATGGTTATATATAGGGAGTAGAAAATAACATGGCTATATACAGGGAGTAGAAAATAACATGGCTGTATATAGGGAGTAGAAAATAACATGGTTATATATAGGGAGTAGAAAATAACATGGCTATATATAGGGAGTAGAAAATAACATGGCTATATATAGGGAGTAGAAAATAACATGGCTGTATATAGGAAGTAGAAAATAACATGGCTATATATAGGGAGTAGAAAATAACATGGCTATATATAGGGAGTAGAAAATAACATGGCTGTATATAGGGAGTAGAAAATAACATGGCTATATACAGGGAGTAGAAAATAACATGGCTATATATAGGGAGTAGAAAATAACATGGCTATATATAGGGAGTAGAAAATAACATGGCTATATACAGGGAGTAGAAAATAACATGGCTATATACAGGGAGTAGAAAATAACATGGTTATATATAGGCAGTAGAAAATAACATGGCTATATACAGGGAGTAGAAAATAACATGGCTATCTATAGGGAGTAGAAAATAACATGGCTGTATATAGGGAGTAGAAAATAACATGGTTATATATAGGGAGTAGAAAATAACATGGCTATATACAGGGAGTAGAAAATAACATGGCTATCTATAAGGAGTAGAAAATAACATGGCTATATACAGCGAGTACCAGTACTGAGTCGATGTGCAGGGGTACGAGGTAATTGAGGTAGCTATGTACAGTACATATAGGTAGGGGTAAAGTGACTAGGCAACAGCACATGTTCAACTTAATAAAAAAACTAGTTTTCCTTCAAGAGGATAAATAAATATGACTATAGTAAGTGCTTATAGAGCTCGCTATGAGATAATATCAGTCAGTTAACATGAACTTTGTGAATTATGAAGCCTTTATGTGCTTTATGAGCTTGTTTTGATTACGTAAATCCTTCAAAATTCACAAAAAGCCTGTGTTTACCACACACCTTATTTTCGGTGTTTATCCAAAAACCCTACAAAAAATAAAAAATAAAAATCCCCGTAGGCTTTGACCAACGAGCCATGGCGGAGTTAGTGCCTACAAAAAGACGCCATTACTATTGCTCTCTATTAAGTACCAAATAAAGTAACAAGGTTGACCGTAACAGGGTTGAGGATTTCATCTTAAATCAGCCATACACCCCCTTGTGAAAGGGGGAATGGAATCTTGTTGTGTGCAACAGGGAGTGGCTTTTACAATTTCTACTTAAAATATCAAAGGGACGCAAAAGGCACCCATTTCGTGGAAAATCCCAATTGTCTGTATTTCAATAACATTTGCTCAAGAGATATACTGTAGTACAGAGTTCCAAATGTTTCTAAAAGTGTTTGGTTGCAACTTCTTTCACCCCGAGAGCTTCATGCATGTTGATGTTCTTTCTCTCCTCAGGTTTGAACCCTTCTAATCCCTCTGTGCTATTCCTCTCCTCCTTTGGGAGCAAACCTGGTGCCTCACCTACACTGGTGTGTGTCCTCAGTGGTTTACCCCAGTGGTTTAAACACACGTCATTTGGTGGACATCATTTGGTGGATCAACGACACAGTGGTAACCCCTGAGAACAATGTCGTTTGGAGTTCCAGGGGAAGCGATGGCACGTACATAACTACCGGACTGTGGACTATGTCTGGAAAGGAAACCCTATAATAACTATGGGTGCGGAATCAGACATGAAGGAAAACTTTATTGAAATGATACACAGCCCTCGCTTTGCATGGATTTTACTTGATTACAAATGTTTGTTAACCTATCAAAAATTATCTGTACTTTACAGCCTCCTTAGCATTTCATGTACAATCTTTAAAATTATTAAAATATTAATGTCATGATGTTTCTTGAGTATTTTAGTAAAAGGTTATCTTTCTGATTGCCATTACCATATGTTGACACAAGAGGGCGATCACTGCCTGCAGTTGGAGGGGCTGTAGTGTTTGTGTTGATTGATGGTAAAGTTCATATGCATGGCATCTCTGTTTCACATACTCACTGATTTCAACTGAGACAATTTTGCTCTTGTTCCTGGATATATCTCTCAACAAAAAGCTGTTATAGAAATGGTTTTTAAAAAAGCTGCACTTCTTAATGCTGAATTGTTTAAATACTCTTTAGTTTTATGTTCCAAACAACAATTGTGTTTCTGTCAGCCCTCCTCTCAGCATATTTTTGCATCATTTATAAGTTCATAATATCATAAATAAAAGAGAAGAAGTATTTACTAATCTGCATTGCACTTTCACATACAAACTCACATCCACTTCTTTATTTTGTCCTGGTTACGCGTTTCCTTATATTCTTGGGACCACTGGCTGCTGTCTGATTCCTGTGAAGAATTAACCATAACACCCCAATTGCCATTATCAGCCAATGACCTTGCTGTTGGAGCTCAGCTAACTGCTTGCTGTGTCAGTAAAGTCAGAAGATTTGGGCCACTTGTTGAAGAACCTTGGAGATATGAGGAATTTCTGAATGGGAGATAGGATGGGAAAACGTGCACGTCGCGTGTGGTGTCTGTCTGTGACCTGTTTCCAATTTGAAAGGCAAAGTTTTTTGGCAGTACACTCTTAGAAAATAAAGTGCTATCTAGAACCTTAAAGGGTTCTTCGGCTGTCCCCATAGAATAACCCTTTGAAGAACCCTTTTTGGTTCCAGGTAGAAGAACCCTTTTGGGTTCCATATAGAACCTTTTTTACAGAGGGTTCTACCTGGAACCAAAAAGGTTCTCCTATGGGGACAGTGAAGAACCCTTTTTTCTAAGAGTGAAGAACCCTTTTGGAACCCTTTTTTCTGAGAGTGTATCCCGTCCGATTCATCTCACTGCCAAGTGTAGCCTGCTGGTTTCACAATAACTTCAACGTGACCAGTGCTTGGGGTACTAGCATGGAAAATGAACTCCATACTCACTGGGCACAGATGTCAATTCAACGTCTATTCCATGTTGGTTCAACCTTATTTCATTGAAATGACGTGGAAACAACGTTGATGCAACCAGTGTGTGCCCAGTGGGTATCTGACTCCAAGTCAGTAAATTCTAATGGCAAATTGATTACACGCATTTCAAGATATAGCGTGACGAGCATGGAGAGACACGTCATCGAGTGATCTACTTGTGAAGCCTGTTGTTGCCCCCATGGACTGATCTGAGGTCAGCTTTGTCTTTTACCGCCTAATGGTCACGGTAAGGATAGAGTGGGGTAATCTGATCCTAGATTTGCATGTGGGGCCAACCCGCACCTCCATAAGGACACCAGCGAATAAACAGTGTGTGTCACATCAGTGTCACTGCATCTGGGCTGTTCTAGGGAAGAGGTCAGGAAGCATAGGCAGTCATTTTGGTTTCTTTGACTCAGCAAGAAGTACCTTTGTGATCAGTCCTCCCTGATTGGCTGTGGTGATGAAAGACATGTACTGCATGGCTATTGGAGTTGTAGATAGAGAGGGGGAGGGGGGAGAGGGGGAGGGATGGAGAGGGGGAAGGGAGGGGGAAGGGAGGGAAAGGAGGGAGGGAGGGAGCTATGTCGACTATTTAGCCGTGTGGAAATGCAGTCTTTTACGATAGCCTCTTCACCGTACTCACACACACACACACACATGCTCAGCAGTCACACACACACACACAAACACAAGCACACACACACACACAAACACACACAGGCTACGATCTCTCCCTATCCCAAGACTTGCCAGCCCTATTGGAGGCAATGGCATTTTCACTACGGATGGAGTGGGTTGGCCAGTGGCCTCGTTAACCTAAAGTGCTGAGAGGATGGAAACCAGGAGATGATCTGGATGAAGCCAGTTGGCGGTTGATATAAACAAAGGCCTTGTTTTTTTGGCCTCATTAAAGGGTGGATTTAAAATGTTAAAGAGTTAGTTGGGTGGTGGTTTGACTAGATGTTTGTCGGCAGCTGTGACATTAATGTCCTGAAATTTCAAGCAGAACTTTGAGAGGATGAACAAGCTTTTTCTGAGGAAAGTTCCAGACAAAGTACAGTAGTTATACTAAATAGCCCCTAAACCCCTAGCAACCTTACAACCCCCACTGATGATAGGGACGTATTCCCTTTCATAGCTTTAGATTATACGGTACAATCTCAGACGTGTGTACATGAACAATGAGTAGAATTAATGAGTAGTGAGACATGCTCAGGGGTGTGCTTAGTCCCCTCCTGTACTCCCTGTTCATCCACGACTGCATAGCCACGCACAACTCCAGCGCCATCACCACCGGAGGGTGATGTCTGGGACCAAAAGGCTCCTGAACAGCTTCTATCCCCAAGCCATTAGACTGCTGAACAGTTAATCAAATGGTTACCTGGACTATTTACATTGATCCCCTTTTTTTTGCACTGACTCTCTTGCATTGGCTTTATGCACACTCACTGGACACTACCCACACACTCATACATACTACACTGACACTCCAACACACACACACACGCACACACACACACACTACATACGCTCGCACACATAAAACACACACACATGCATATTGACGCCACACACTCACACAGACACACTTTCACACTCTTCACATACACTGCTGCTACTCTGTTTATTGTCTATACTGATTGCCTAGTCACTTTTACCCCTTCCTACAAGTACATATTAACTCAATCACCTCAACTGCCTCATACCCCCACACATTGACTCGGTACCGGTATTCATTGTATATAGCCTCGTTGTTGTTATTTTATTGTGTTACTATTTCCTTTTTTTGTGCAAATTGTTCATACTTTTTAACTCTGGATTGTTGGGAAAGGGCTTACAAGTAAGCATTTCACTGTAAAGTCTACACCTGTCATATTTGGCACGTGACAAATATATTTGATTTGATTTGCTGCAACTAAACATGTCAATATGTGACTGCTGACACTGGTTATTATCAGTGCCCCTCAATAACAACAGTTGTCTGACGCCACTGGCCTGGCTGCCTGCAGGCCTGCTCTACCGGTCGGTTAGTGTTCGACAGCTGAACCCTGTCTGTCTGAAGCTGCAGACATGTTGTTCAGCTGCAGAAATAGTCCTACCAGAGAAGAGGAATGTAGTAAACAGATACCAGTCATGTTTTAAGCCTTAAAGTCTGTATAATTGAAAGGGGTTTGCACTACGAAGTCTGTCAGCAAAGGAGAGAGGGGAGATGTTAGTTAGGACTATATAAACCCAATTTTGAAGGTAGTTTATGCTCTATAACTTCTTGGCCTCAATTCAATGAATCACACTTTTGTATTTTTTTGTGACTAACTTTGTATTTTGTTTTGCTTTTTCCCCATTAGGAGTTTAGAAGCCGACAATTGTCCAGTCTGTCCCATCTCCCCAGAGTTCATCTGAGTATAATTCTATTGGCAGGGGTAGCCCACGAGTGGTCTTTCAATAACCTGCGAGTGAATGAGCTTTTTAGATCAGTTCAGATCAGAGCGCAGAGCCATGCGTGTGCACATTTGTTGATATTCTTTGCTAGTTAGCGAGTATTTAGCCCAGTTATAGATAAGTATAGGTCAGCAATGGGGAGTTACTGCTTCCTACAAGAGCACAAACCATGTAGGCTACATTTCAAGATGTCTTTGAAAAGCTATTCAGGTAAAAACCTTATGTCTTAATTAAAGGGGCAGTGTTGTATTTTGAGACAGGCTTGAATATGCAAATAAGCCAATAGGCAGAGAGGTAGCCTACATTGTCTAATTCTCTGTAAGGTAAAAATAATACATTTTATTTTGTAAAGTGGTTTCTTGCATCATACAACACAATACAATGCCATTTACAGTCACCTATTTGGCCAATGGTGTTACAGACCAAGTAAAAATCATTAATTAATGTCAAGGCCTTCATATTGTAACAACGTTTAAAATGTCTCATGCAATGTAGGCCTGCATTGAACAACACACATAGGCCACTGTAGGCTATATCATAGAAATCAAAAGCTATTTCCATGTGAAAATGTTATGGGATTTGCTCCATTGGTTTTGTTAGTAGGCCTACAGTACATTATGTTCTAATAGCCACAATAGCCTATTGGCTACTGTCTAAAACTGTAAGGGTACAGCCTCAGCGTTCACTGTAAATGAGCACCTGAAGTTGTACAATATTCTCACAACGTTCAAGTTTCCACTCACAATACATAAAATCTGCTCAGTTCCCCAAACAATTTGAGGGAACATTGGTCACTGTTACAGTTGAATACCTGTTGTCACACTCAGGATTGTTGATTTAGGCAGGCCCTGACTTGCCTCTGAGCACTGAAACTGGTTTGGTGGTTTCTTGTTTTTGCTCAGACATAGACAACATCATCGCTGACAACATCTGGAGCACAAGGACAGACTGTGTCTGTCTTTTAACACTTTGGAACTCACTTTTAAATATAAGCTTTGTTGCACATATTTGTGGGCGTGTTGCAGTGGTGGAAAAAGTACCCAATTGTCATACTTGAGTAAAAGTAAAGATAACTTGAATAGAAAATGACTCAAGTAAAAGTGAAAATCACCCAGTAAAATAGTACTTGAGTAAAAGTTTAAAAGTATTTGGTTTTAAATATACTTATGTATAAAAAGTCAAAGTCAAA